ATGGGAAAAGAAAAAGATGAAAGGATGACAGTTAGAACACCTGCACATGTATACGCGCTCACGCGCACACACACACACACACATACAGAGAGAGAGAGAGAGAGAGCAGGGGACTGAAGGTGATACTTTCATGAAAAGCTGTTCCTTGCAATAAATTGTGTTTCTGCTTGGTTTGACAAAAGAATTCAGTATTCTTTACCTTGTAACATTAGTTGAGTTTGTCTTCCGGGTCTGTTGTTGTATTCACAGTTTGATACAGGATTTGGGTGAGAATGGACCCATTTTGTTTTTAGTTCTCAACAGGAGTATGTGTATGCCTTATTACTTGTTTCCAAGATGAAAACCACTTGTGGTACTTGTCTTGCGGTTTTTTTTGTTATCCTAGTGAAACGGAGACACAATGGATATTCTAGGAATAGTAGTCAATCAATTTTGTTTCATAGCAATGAAATCCCCAAGCTGCGATAAACAGATCTTTCTTTGTTATGTTTCAACCATGGAGATACACTTACCGTTCCTGTGGGTGGAGAATTAAAATTAGAACCATTGTTTTTTCTGGTTTTGATATCATACCGGAATAATTGCATGTGACGTGGATATTTATATCCCAAAGACCACCCATTTTGAAATGAAAAACAACTTGTTTATAAAAATGGCTTTTGTTTTTTTACTCACAGGTTGTTGGAGAAGAGCTTGGTGTAGTTCACTCCATTTTTGAAATCTGTTCAATCTCAAGATCTTGACACATTGTGACCCATGAGTTACAGCTTGGAAATTAGATTAAAACTCCATTATTGTTTTTGCTTTGAAATAGCATGTGCTCTTTCTAGAGAAAAAAAGTCATCAAAATAAAAATTCTATGACCTGTAAGGTTTGCATCAGTGATGGCTGAAAGTTTCTGGAAAACCTTTGACTTGCAGACACCCAAAACCATAAGACAAATGTGCCAGCAAAACAAAGCAAACATTGGATATATTTTTTTGTAATTGTGAACAGTTTCAATCAAGCATAAAATTGTTAACACGTGAATTTATTTAGATATTCATGGCATTTATCAAAATTGATGTGAATTGCAGATCAGCTGCTATAAATTGCATGCGATGTGTCTTTATTTGATAATGTCTCTCCTGAATGGCGATAAATTCTCATAATAAACTCATAGCAGCATATAACCCTTGCCAAGACACTATCAGCACTATGTACACAGGTACATTTTAAAAACAATTAAAACGCACGGAAACAAATTGACTGCATGCACTTACAATATGTCCAATAATGAACTGGCCTAATTACATTCAAATTTATACAAAAAGTAACAGTACAAAGCATTACAGGAATTTTTTCACTAGTCGTACCGTGGAGAGCGAGGTTGGGTGTCATCTTGGCTAATTACTGGGTAGGGTCAGTTGTAATTGGATTTTAATGTTAAGTACACAGCTTATGTCAACAACTCTGCTATAGCACAATGGGGTTTATTGTCTGTGTACCTCTAAACTATCACTTCCTCTTCTAATTTACCTGCTGTCCTTGTCTGGATTCTTAAGAACTGTTTGTCATACACATGGAAGGCCATATTGCAGAAATCATAGGCCCTGAATCAGCACATTTTGCCCCTCCTAAATTCTATGATGAAATAATGTTGAGGTAAAGCATGTAGGTTAAAGGATGTAGTCTTTTTTTTTTTCAATAGATTTAATTCATGCTTACACATCACTTTATGGAAATTTTTATCCTGTGTAATATTTCATTAAGATATTCATGATCACATAACTACCTTTCAAATTAAGCCCTCAGTATGTATGAGTGGGCTGGGCTAATGAGTTCATCAAACAGAACTTCTTGATTATGTTTTCACAAGTGTAAGTGAGAGATAAGCTTAGGCTTTAGAAGGTAAAAGCTGGACAGCTGTTACTGGTGATACTACTATTTTTCTTACCAATCTGTTTGTTTGTGCACTTGTTGGACACCTATATTTCCACCTTGATTAAGGAATTGATCCTCCCAGATAGTGGCTGGCTATGGGGGGAATAGAGACTGAAAATAAGCAGGAGTTGTAGTAGTGTCTGTCTCTGATATCAGCTGGACTGTCTTCTGTTCAGTTACTGGCTGTGATCAGTACATGATGGTATTCAAGGTGAAGGTGATTGGTAAGTCTTTTTTTTTTCGTACATGAAGAGTGTAAAAAATAGAATTGAATTGAAGAAGCTTAGGCACATTGCATGAGAAAAGTATTTTTCCTAAATAGTGGTTGTTTCTCTGTAGTTACAAGGGTGGAGTACACTTTTGCTTTACAGACTCAATTAGAAGAATAAGGTCTTGCAGGATGTATAAAGATTCAAAAGATGTCTGAATATGCACATTGAGTAGGCAGGAGAGTGTAGGTGTGTTTGTGACATACTGGAGACTGGTTTTGAACAGAAATTCTTCCAAAGAATTTATTATCCCGTCGTATGGTTGAAAACCCCTGAGATATTTTGAAGTAAGATTTAGAAGTTTTGCATTTTTTGTTGAGTGTTCACTGTTTTTTATGTTAGGCAAAAACTTGATGTATTTTTGATAAAAAGAAATGTATGCCTACTGAAACTGTGATAAATTCTAAACAGACATCTCAAGTTTCTAAAAAAAATGAACCTGGAAATGGTTGTGACATTGCGAAGTTCTGTTTTGAGTAACTTAAATTGACGAAGCTTAAAAACAATGCTTAAGAAGCCTTTTTCTGAAATTTGCTGAATTTGAAAAGTTGCAAAATATATAAACAAAACAAAAAGAAGTAGAGTTGAAAAATTAATTGTCAAAGTATTTTCTTTTGAGGTTGTAACCAGTCTTGATAAAAAGCCATGATGATGCTACTCTGTAATTAATTATAAATGATTTGAGAAAGAACCATGAAGTTAAAATGTCCACATTAATTTCTTTGAAAGAATGAGATGTTGTTTCTATTTTTATCAAATGAATGAGTAAATATTTAGGTTTTGGAACTGCAAAGTCAAATCCATTTATATATATTTGTATGTCTGAAGACAAATTGACCAATGTTTCATCAATTATTAAATGGTTTAAGAAGCATATTGGCAAGAAAAAGAAAACACCAATCCTTTAAATGGGTTCCTCAGCACAAATTGGAAGTTCTTTCACATACATTTCAAATGATTAGGGGAAACAATTGGAATTAGAAATTTCACGATGAATTTATTTCAGAGACATTTAGCTAAGAAATCACAAAAATCACCAAATTCCCCTCAAAAGTCTGGTGCATCAGACCAGAAAATGAAACTTCCACATGTGTGGGTTGTTTGGGTGCAATGATCAAAAAGATTAACAGTTATACAGCATTATCTGAAAGCACTGACCATAGAAGGCAATGGTATGTCATTGCATGACCATGAAAAGTAATAGCCGTTCATTTGTACCCAAGTAACAATAACATCATGGAAAACCCAACAATGACAACAATGCGAAGTAATAGTCAGATATTGTGTTTAGATAACGCAGATATTAAGGGCAGCTGTATCTAATGTTATGGTTCTAGTTTGCGGTTAGTGAACAAAAAGGTGTGATTGGATCTGTCTGATCTTTGGCTGCGAACTCACAATATTATCAGATCTCGGTTAATGAATCTTTAGAAACTGGCTACAATTTTGGTATATTAATATGCATACTTATAGGAGTTCAGCAAATTGAGTATACAAGTTTTGAAAGGATGTAAAACTTCAATTGGAACTTATGTCTGTTGCTGAAGGGTGTTGCTCACTAAGAACCATAGCTTTAGTGCCTACACTTGGCTTGCCAAAGACGACTAGACACAGGTAAGAAAAGTGATTAGGAAATACTTTATGTTGTACATTTTATGCATTAATGTATGGTGAGTCGGAAAAAAAAAAGGAAGGTTTATACCAAAAAAGGCATGCTGGATTCTGGAATTGCGGGAGAAATACATCAAAATGGAAGATACAGAATATTTAGTGAGTCACGTTCTTGCTGCTGGAAAATCAGAAGTGAATTAATTCAAAACTTGTCGCTGATTGACACAGGAATGCCACTGCATGACTTAACGTTGACTCTCTGGTTACAAATTAGTTTGAAATGAGCTTTTGAAGTTATGTTTTTGAGATAGAGATCCTAAGTAGGAAAAAACATGACTTGCATGAAACAATAAGGCTACATTTGAAAGTTTCCTGCTTGGAGGAGAAATAACAATTGGTAAGAGCTGCACAAATTGAACCAGTGAAATCTCAAGTTAAAGTGCTTAGAGGGCAATAATAAGAAACTGACAAATATAGTAACTGTTCTAAGAGCAAATTAGTATATATAATAAAGAAAAATGGGAGAAAGACATCAAAAACAGTTCCTCTATTGTATCAGCTTGAAACTGTAGTCAAAGAAAGCATTAAGGAGAGCAGGGGGAGAGGGGGGATAAAACCTCGAACCTTGTTTGCCAAATGTGCTTTGCAGATGGCAGAGGCATAAAGCTCTACACAGTATGTGATTCTGTCAAAACAAATTTCTGATTTAATTCTCACGGAATTCTTTGTATTGCCAAAAAGGGTTTTTATGTGAAGAAATGGAGTGCAAACTGAACGCAGTAAAAGGGGTACATGATCCGTTGCTGTATCTGATAAACTATGCAAAAAAGAAAATACTGTTCATTCATCTCTGTTATTTTAGAACGAAAAAAATATGTATACTTTATCAGAAATCTTGGAGAAAGGAATAATTAAAAGTAATTAGGATTATTTTAGAAACCCTAAGTTCTGTTGAGATGAAGGGCAATGTGATACTGTGAAACCCTTATTACAGTGGAATAAATCTCTCTCCTCTTTTTTTCATGCACAGTCCATCCCTGTTGTGTTAACCCATTAATTTATTTCTTTACATTTGAGATATAGCAGAAGAATACCAAAGGCAGATAAAGATAACTGGGTTTTATTTGAAATGTAATCCAGTAATCAAAGTTTATAGTCTTTTGCTTATTATTATACATTTTTCTTTTTTCTCTCCAGGATCCAGAGACAGTCGTGGCGGCAGCGTGGTGGTAGTACACACACATTTACCACAGTGGAACAGTGCTGACCTCAGGTGTTCAGAACTGGCGCGGCTCTTCATGTACTACTATGTTGTTCCGAGGTAAGAACAAAACAATTACAAAACAGTGAGGGTCAGTGGGTCCTACAAGCTGCTGTAGTAAATGCTGTGCTTGCTGAGAAAATGAATCTCACATAACTAGTTCTAAATGTTTAAAAGAAATTGTACAAAACATTTAATTTAATTTTTGTTTTAAGTCAATTGATTTATAAATTGTTTGTGATAAAGTTCTGAAGGTAGACAAAAGTGGCATTTGAATTGTTCCCTTTTCTTCAGCAGTGCCACACACACACACACACACACACACACACACACACACACACACACACACAGAACAAAGTAAAAAGGAGAGGGGAGAGGACATAACTACAATACAGTTGCCAAGTTTAGCACCCTGTGTGAATAACGGTGGCAGAGCAAGATCTGACGAAAGATGTGACCCTCCACCTTTCAGGGTGACAGCTCGTTTTGATCAATTAGCTCATTGTCAAACAGAGATGACACGCCTAAGTGTTACTGCCAGAGCAGTGTTTTATAGATAAATCTTATTTCTTTACTTCGGACGCGCTACTCACTTGTTTGTCGCATCGGTGTTGAGTAACAATTGTTTTTAGCGCGCTTATGATAATGATGGGATAGAATGTGATTGCACGAGGAATGAGATCGGCTGATATTAAATGCTGAGACAGCCGTAATTACAAGTGTTTTTGTAACAGGAATCTGGCCCATAAGGTTAGCAATTAATTTTAAGTTATGAAAGTTCATTTAAAGATAATTGCGAGAAGATAAAATTAGTTTTCCATTGTAAACTGCAACTTTGAGTAGCGTTAGAAATGCCGGTCTGATGTACAATGCACAGTACATGTAACACAATCACTGTACCTTTCAGTATTGGAGTAAAGAAAGTTCAGTAAAGTGTAGTGTATTGTTTAGAAACGAGAATGTAGTTGTACTAGTTGCGAGTTAAAGATTGTTTGTTTTATGTTCGTAATCAATGTTATTTTAAAAGCGTATTTTTTCATTGTGTTAGTTGCGTCAGATGAGATTTACTACACAATCATTTAGAACCCAGTCGCTTGCATTACACTAGAATAGCCCAAAGTCGGTAAGAGTTACTTATATTTTGGAGATAAAGATAGGATAACATGCAACTGTTAAGTAAAGATGTTATTTAAGTGACTTAATAGCATTATATAAAAGAACTAGGGCAAGAATATGAGATGATTTTCATATTTTATTTCAATTATTCTTTTCAGTTGACGGTTTAAGGTTAAATAAATCAGTAAAAACGACGCAAAGCTGTTGTTGTTGTGTGTGAGTATTGCAAGTGGCTACACTAAGTGTCATCATTTTTGGCAGCGAAATTGTTTGTGGGTTTGTTTAAAGACAAGACAATGTACAAACTTTGAAACAACTAAGTTAACAATGACATACCATCTTCTACAATATATATACCCCCCCCCCCCCCAGAAAGTCAAAATCATGTATAATCTTTGGTACAAGCAGATGTTCAGAAAATTAAGAGTCAAATATCGCATCTCAACTCATCTAAAAAGGTAAAAAAAATTACAAAGAAAAAGTTTAACATTGCATTACATTTTGTGTCATTGTTGTTTGTCAATGAAATGATATCTATAGAAATCAACTGATCAGTCAGTTATTTTGTATTTTCAGAGAGGAGATCAGAAAGAAAGGATCCACGTTTCTGATCCAGGCTAAGGGTGCCAGTGAACTGGTGCTGAACAACTTACTGGAGGCCTTTCACATTTTGGAAGTAAGCTTTTTGTTTTGCTTGTGTTGGTACTTTGTATTGTGGATAATCACACATCTTAGAAAAAATATTCTATTAGGGAGCATCCAGATAAACCCTTCTTACTAGTTGGATTGGTCCAACACTTCAGAAAACCTGGCTTAGTACAATCAATGTAATCAGCTTAATTGTCTGTGTATATTGTTTATTCCAAGTATCAGCTAGGACTGTATTAAAAGCAAGAAAACATCTTTGAACAAAGTTTTTTTAGAAGACAAATAGAAAAAACTTTCTTTTCTGTTTACCAGTTACTGAATCATATTTGCCATTGACTCAAATATTTTATTTCAATTTTTCAAAAAGGAGAGAATTGCATGTGTTGATCATTTGTCAGTGAATGTAATAGAATTCAGCACAAATGTATAACTGAAGTACTAAGGTGCAGTTGTTAGGTTGAAAAAAAATGAAGTATTTTCTTAAGCATTTTATATGATATTTTTTGCTTTGATTGATGACAATAATCTTGATGTCCAGTTGTTACCAGCTCTTTTCCTCCCCACCTGTTTCAGGTTCACATCCCAGGGTCCATTTACATCATACACATTCTGGTCGACTCCGCAGCGCAGGGAATTTTACTCAACTCCCCCGCACTAAGACCAGAGATAGGCTTCAAGGTAAGACATGGGACAGGAGAATACACTGGAATAAGAATATTTACCTCCATCAGTGAAGAAATTGTTTTCCTCAGGGTTGGTTTGTTTTTAGGTGGAAATGTTATCTCATAAGTTCTTCACAAATCTTGATAAAATTCTGAGGATAGACAGTTTTACAGAATGGAAAGAAGAGATAACAATTTCAACTGAATTTGGATCTCCTGTTATTTATTAAAGTATTATTAAAATTTAAATTGATTATAATTTATATTTTCCTTTGGCAAAGACCTGCGCTCTCTTTAGTGCTCTCCAGTTGCTATGTAAAAGAAGAAAATCAACATTCTCAACTGAACCTTATGATGAAAGGTATAACAGGCCAACAGCAATATCAGTTGAGCATACTCCATTTTGTGAGCAAAATGGCACAAAGCAATAATTGTCGGTTTAAAAAATATATCAGCTGTTTACATTGGTATTCATTAAAACATGAAAAGCATATTTTGCATTCAAAACACTTTTCCCTTCTCTGGTAATAAAAACATCAAGGACTTGAAATAAGGAGAGTAAGGAAGTATAGAATTATGAAGCAAAAAAAAGAAAAGAGAAAATAATTTGAATGGGTGGAGACTAGTGTCAAAGAGGACAGTTGATGCCAGTGAGTGAGCACACATATTAATGATCACATTGAGATGTCAGCAATCTGTTATAATCTATTATAGAGTAGACTGTCACACTCTGTCCCACACTAACCGTTTCTGATGGCTTTTAATGCTTTGTTTGGCTTGAATTTTAGAGATCTTTTAGGGATTTTGAATTAAGTTATCATAATGAGGCCCTATGGGACAAAAATATTCAGGACAGTATTTTAAATTAGGTGAAATATCAAGTCAATATCAGAGATACATCAATTCATACATTTTGTGATACTATCAAATATGATAACTTAGTGGAGTATAATTGAGCATGTTAAATATTTTCATATATTTTATCATCATTACCCTAATATTTCATTTAATTTTAGACTGACCAAGTGACTCTCCTGTGATTTTAAAAAAATTTAAACTCAGAAAAATTATTTGCTTACACCTTTCTTCTTGGTCTATAATTTTTGTTAGAAAATAGAGGAAAATGCTTGTAATTTATCAGCAGTCATCTTAATATTCCAAACATGCATCGTTGAGCCTGAAGTCAAATACCAACTTATCACTTGTGCTTGTGATCATTTTGAGGTTTTGTACATATGCTGAACATCTGAATGTTTGTTTATCAGCTAGAAATCTTTTGATGGGATAGAAAGATGTGTTTTTATAAGGTGTCTTGTTATATAATTATTGGTTTTACACCTTGTAAAAGTAGTTTTCTCTTTGTAAGTACAGTGCACTGAGTATTGTATGGACCACAATACATAAATGCAAAAATTGTAATGAACCATGTTCATGAAATGAATTATAGGATATTTGTCACTTTAAGATGTTACTAAAGGAAAAAATTGTATGAATTAAAATGTGATATGTAATTCAAATGTATTTAAGAAAGAAAGATGGTACTTCCATTTGAATTATCATGTAGAACCGGCAAAATAATCACCTCATTAGTAAAAGGCAGAAAAGAAACTGATAAAAGAGTCCATTGAATAGAAAAGTAATTCTAAACAAAAGAAAAAACCCTCATGAAATGCACCTTCCTATGGAGTGCCATAAGTACCAGTGTGTTTCCTATATCTGCTGAGATCATCAGTGATTTCGGTGCAGTTCTGGAATTGTGTGGGTTAAGATCGGGAACAGTAATAAAGATAAAGGAAACTGTAATCGCGATGAACAGTACATTCTTATATTGTGGGCCTCTGCACAAAAGGAGCCCAGGGCCTTTTCTCATTTAAGAAGTCAAAGCAAAAATTTGAGCTTAAAACCCAATATTTTTAAAGGGTGTAGGGTGGGGGGAGCAAAGTGTGACTGTTTTTGTAACTTTTTGTTAAACACCGCAGCATTGTAATTACTAAAAGGTCCACTTAAAAAATATTAATGATGGAAATATTAAATGAAAGACAGAATGAATATTCACAATTAACCAAAACTTGATGTTGGATAAGATTAGATATGATTTAACAAAAAAAAAAAAAAAAAAAATCAGTTCATTTCGATCCTATCATGTTGAAAAATAAAGAAACCATTAGAGAAGACCACAGGATACAAGGAACAATTGTTGATAGATAAGATCATTGTTCTTCTCAAATTTACCCTCATGCAAGAGAAAATTCTGACATATGTAAGTGATAGATAAGGCAGATATAACTTGTTTAAAACACAATCACACATTGGGCTGTTGCCACTGGACATGGTGCTGATGAAGTGATGGTAGTTAGTCTTTTGAGAGGAAAATTTTAGAAATTGAACTTTTTAATTTAATTACTTGATAATGATTTGAGTGAATTATAATTTTCAGAAATAATGATGCAATTATTATTATTATTATTCCAGTTGGATCTGGTATCCAGTCAAGACCTGTTGTGTCGGTTTGTGGAGAAGAGGCAACTGCCGATAGAGTTAGGTGGCTACTTTTCCTACAATCACGAAGATTGGATTACTTTTAGAATGGTAAGTTTTGGATGTGATGATTATTTTTTTAAAAATCTACAAATATCAATATGGACAAGATGGCTACTGATGCCCACCCCACCTCTTAAAAAAAAAAAAATGATAAATTTTTTATTAAACTTAACTCTGTCAGGTTTTTTCATTGTTTTTTGGGATCCAGGAGTTCATAAAGCTTGTACTTGTTGTTAAAATAAGACAATATTTATTGCAAGCATGGACCTGAACGCAGGGGAGCAAAAAAGATTGGAAAAGGGTGACTGGGTTCGAAAACTAAGTGCTTTCAAATAGCACAGGAACTTACATAATCTGACTTACAACAGGCATAGGAAGGGACAATTAAGTGTCACATACATGTGCATATTAAGGGTGGAACTGCATCACCATTAGCCAACAACTGTCATTGATTGTCCTGTGACGGACAATAATCCATAGGACGGTACTGTCATTAGTGAACAATTGATAGTGTCACCCAAGCCCGCCATTACTGTTATGTCCACAATAAGGGGCTTGATGGGGTCATTTGGGTATGGAACATTGAAGATGTTCTGTTCACACAGTTTCGCTCCTGGAACGGGTCACTTTTTGTGTGAGTCCGTTTTAATTCCCTGAGACTCCTAAAGTTTGTGGTGCAGTCATATGTGGAAGTTGTGGTAGGAGAGACGTGCACTGATGTTAGTGCCTGATTGTTGAAGTTTTGTATTCAGAGAGGCGTCAGATTTGAACAGTGATTTGAAGTGAAGATCTATAGTATACTATGATGTAAAAAAGAATTATAAAAAGAATATTAATTTATATAATGTTTTTTGTTCCCTAAAGTTATGATCACTTGTAAAGCCCTGATATTTCTAATGATCTAGCTCAGTAAGGACATTCTAAATTTTCACTTAGAAACCAGGGCTGTACATCAGAGTAGAAAGGGTTATGTAAGGGTCTGTGACTTTGACGTCACAACCCCATTTTGATTGGAGAGGTGATTGATGAACGCTGGTGACCATTTCTGCAAACCTGTACTGTTAAAACACAGGTTTATGGCGTTTGCGTCCATATCGTAATTTATCATTGTTCGGTCCGTTGATTCCGTGAGAGATGGGGGAGAAGAGTCAATCTATGACAGTAATGGGATAGACAGGATGCCGGTGAGCTCATAGGGGGAAAAGACCGAGTTTTCAGACAAGGGATGATAAGATTGCAATAACTGCTTCTCTCTTATGTTGGATTGAAGACTGGTGAATTACGGAGTGTTAGTTCCTCTGATTTGAGCTGTTGTGGTGAAGAAATTATTGTAATTTTGAGGTAAATTTTGCTTTTTCATATTTTGATTTTTGTACAAACAAGCAGTTTGCTAGTTTTCTATTCAAAGGATTTAGATTAAGGTGATATTGCAAGCTTAATAGTGCATATCCTGATAGCACTCATGCCTACTAAGTGTAACTAGTCCACAAGTTAAACAAGAAATGTGCATTTCCTTAAAAGATGTACTTCAAAAACATATTTTTAGGTTGATTTACATCAGAAGCATTTATGATATTATGGAAATGGATAGAAGAACAAAATAGATTGAAGGCATATTTATTACATATTCATAAGTTAGCCTGACTGGGAACCATGTATTTTATATTAAAGTACATGTTAGTTTAAATTTGGTTTAAATTTTATGTCCAGGACACAAATACCACGGAATGTCGCATCTCTTCTTTGAATTTTGTGACCTAGACTCGTTACATTGACAAATTTAATTATGAAAGAAATGCTGTAGATAATGATTTTGTTTCATTAATAGACTTGTGCTGTTAGGAAAAAAACAAAATATATAATTTCATCCCTATGTTTAACAGTGTAATTTTGAATTAGAACCTGGACGAGCATTTAGAGAAAAAAACTTCTTTTGTTAGAAGTTTTTGGAAGAAGTAGTGGTCATCCTGACAGCATTCCTTTGTTTTAAGTTTTTGAAAGAAGTAATGGTCATCCTGAGCTACCTGAGGGTCAAGAGATGACTAATGACCGGTCAACTAGGAACAAGTGGTGATAACTCTGTGGGTTAAGAGGGGGTGGGGGTCAGTGTCATCCACGCCCTCCGAGAAAATGTTATCTTTGTGTACCGGTGAACCCAGTTGACTTTTCTTTTGGATGTAAGATATATTTATTGCCTAGAAAATGGTGTGGAATTTAAACTATTAATTTTGGTGATTTTTGTGTTAACAGTTACGCTGCAGGGAGGAAGTAGGTTAAATAATTTGCACATGGGTATATATATATATGATTGATATGCAGTCACTGGACATGGTGTTAGAGGGAAGTGGTAGGCAGTGCAATGCATGCCTCAGGAGAAAATTTATCTGTGCTGATGAACCCAATTGACTTTTCTTTTCAAAATAAGAGCCCCTTGTCACCCTGATAATGGTTTGGAATTTAAACTATTAATTTAAGTGATATTTTTGTGTAAATTCTTTTGCTTCAGGGAGAAATTTGAAAATTTTGCAAATAGGCACATGATTAATATGTATGGTACGCAGTCACTGTACGGCCCAAGTTGCTACCCAGAGGGTAGAGAACCTGCATTTTTTTTACCAACTTGTCTTTTGTACCATGTATAGGTATCTTTTTCTCCAATTTGATATAATTATTTTCACTGTCTCCCAATATTAACATGCATGTCTGCTACTTTTACCTTCCAGCAACTGGAGCCATTTTTGTCCAACTGTCACAGTGCAGCCAAGTTTCTTCTGGCCATCATGCGTGAGATGACCTCTATAACAGGGATGCCGCAGACATCTGTCGATACAAAGAAGGTCATCGAAAGACACGAACAGTATGTGCGGAAGGCATTTGAAGACGCAAGGTTGATCAGCCTGCAGAATGAGGGGACGGCCATATTGGGACTCATGAACAAGCTGGAGCCTACACTTGGACACAGTCAGGACTACAGGTGAGGAAATTGTTCACTTGGTTAGTTAATTACTTTGCTGACAATTTAAACTAGTAGAAAGGTGTCACTTTTATTTTTGTTTTTTAAATTGCTTTGGAGATTTGAGGTAGTAGTGGAACTAATCCTTATTTATGTTTTAATTTTATTATGTTTTTTTTTTTGCATATTTACCGATGAATTTATTTATTTATTTATTTATTTATTTATTTATTTATTTATTTATCTTTTATTTTGCATTTAGACAAGTGTTGATAACCACTGCTATTTATGACACATACTTGTTCTTACAGGGATGCTATGGACCTGGTGAATGGTGTATACACAGAGGTTCACGAATGCATGGCCAGACTGACCAAGCTAGCATCCACCAGAGTGCAGAGGTTAGAGCAGTGCTTGCAGCTCCGAGAGTTTGAGGAACAGTCTGCAAAGGTACAAAAACATTTTTTATATCTTTCAAGACGTGCTGCAAATTTAGAAAAAAGAAACATCTGAACAGCTTGATTTTTAACTTTGGTCTCTTTATTCATCTATTTTGCCAACAATGAGCAAATTCAAGGAGAAACCCCAATCATGAAAAATATCTTTAATTAAAATATTGCAAAATTCCTGTTTCATTCACATTTCAACCTGACAAGAACAGAAACAGACAATATTATGAAGAACTTTTGACTACAGGATATGCCACTTTATATTTCGCTGACAAGAAACATTGACTATGACAAAACTGTTATGGCCATTTAAAAGGTGCCCAATAAATATAGAAAATACAGGACCATATATAAAAAACTTAATTTCTAACCATGTAATATGTTCATATTCAGATGATAGCATGGCTGAGAAAAGATGGAGAGGCTCTGATCCAGGAACACAGCACAGTGGGTGACAACCTGAAGGCTTTAAGAAAGCAGCAGAAGGAATTTGAGAAAGGATACTTTGCAGCAATGGTAGGAATACTGATGCTTTTAGTTTACAGTTTGGGGTAGCTCAGACTATGGCTGTATTCCCAGAGCTTTTAGATCGATCTATCCCCGTGGGGAGTCTCACTAGATTACTGTCAGATAATCCGGCTTAAATGTCCGTCCCGCCTACTACAAGCTGTAAGGGGGTAATTAACTTTGGTGTCCGCTCGGCTGACAGCTATTTAGCGTGAACCCCCAGGGAGTTAGGTCGATCTAAAGTAGATCGATCTAATCTCTGGAAATGGGGTCATTGACTATTTTAATTGATGCCTTAATTAAAAAGTGATTTGCTTTGGGGTGAAGAATGTAAACATATGGAGTAGTTTTACCCCTAGTTGTCTGTGCTGTTGCTTTAAATTGATAATTTGGCAAAGCAAAATGTAATTCTAGACAACTATCTAATGCAAACAAAAAATCGTAGGATGAATCCAGAAAGAGATTTGTTTTTTCACTGTCAGCTTTTTCGTACTTCTAAAATTTGCGGTTGTCCTTAGGAAAGGTCAGTAGCATCCAGATTTTATGTCTTTCCCTTCTGGTAAAACTGCTGGTTAAAGAGGTGGAGTATTTTGGTTGTTTTTATTATTGGAAGGCAGGGGTATTCTCGTCCTATCAGGGATATTTTTGGGGATAATCAACCATGTTTTACAATTTTGGTTGGTCCATTGAAATATTAAGACTGGAGGAGGTATGGAGGGATCTTTGAGAATGAATAGCTATAAATGTCATCTAGATTCTGTACCAAAACAATATAAAATATTGTAAGGGCTTAAGACATAGGTTTAATGGTCAGATGTTAATGTTGAATTGTATAAAGGTCAAGTTAAAATAGGTCTGGACAAATGTACAGTTCCCATTAACCTCCTGAATACAGAATGGAAGGGCCCATAGAGTGCTAAAGCACGGAAAGTACCTTTACTGCAAAGACATTAGCGGATGCCGTGCATGCTGGGTATTCTTTGAATTCGAAACCTAACCAATGCTCAGTTAGGTAGCAGATCATTGGAGTTCCAAAAACAAAAAAGAGGTACATACCTGAAGTCATTGAAGTCTGCTGTGGTATTTGACAGATCTCCAAGTTTGGTGTCTATGTGTTGACTTAACAATGTGATAGCACCTTCAAACATATTGCATTGTGAGAGAGGACCTAGTTAAAGGAGTGCTCAGTATAAGCTTGGGTATTTCATGAAAATTGGATTTACCAAATGTTTTCTGGAATTTTGGGACTTAAAGCTTTTGGATGAAAAAATGTAGAACTGCATTAAGTGTTCCATGCTATTGGTTTAAGATTAGGGGTGGATTTTGGCAGATTTTTACTTGAAATTGGGACTTATTGCAAAAAAAAAGTTCATTTCCAAGAATGTTGGAGTTAAGTATAACCTGGTCGTAAGCTGTACACAACAGAGGATTTAAAAAAAAAAGGAGAAGATATTTTGATAGGAATTACAGAGCTAAATCTTTCAAACCCTGCAATGGAAACAGCAGAAGGCCGACCTTTTTTCACACTGGAATGAGATGATAATGTCAGGGCAACACATCTTCAACAGATTTTGACATTATGTCGCCTAGAATTTGAAAACGGCAGATGTGAGCCCTAAAACATGACAGGGTCAGGTATAGAGGCCAGGCATCTTGACAGGATTTTCAGAGAAGACCTCAGTGGAAGTTGGTGTGTAATGTCGTGCTGGCAGACATGTTGGAAACGGTAAACATGGCAGGGTATCATCTCAGACAGTTCAAATTTACAGTGGACAAAGATAAACTGACAAAGGTACAAGTAATATGGCTCGAGTAACTTTACGTGATAATTCTTTCTCAGTGGAAATTGTATTCCAGGGGGAAAACTTTTGATTTTAGTAGAGCATGAGATTAAGAGACAGCTGATATTGGTCGTGTCAGTTACAGTACTGAATCCTCTTACTTTATTACCGATGTTTATGTTGGTTGCTTAGCAAAGGCAGATACTCTGCAAACAGTTTAAATTGAGAATTTTTTTTAAGAATCCTGAAAAAAATTGTTGTGCATGCTGGATTTGATGCTTATAAAAATTGAGCAATAGTTTTGAGAAAGGCAAAATATTGAAAGAAGGATGTCCTGTCAGGATGTGGAGAGAGAAAGAGGAGCAGGAAATACTTGAACATTTTCCTTATGATATCCTTGTTTAGTTTTCGCTGGTAAAATTTTAAGTTTTCGGTACCTTTGGTATGGTTAAGTTCAATTTGTCATTTCCTGAGGCAGTAGGAGAAAAAGTTCACTTAGTCAGATATATTTTCATACCATTTCAAGACCTAAACTGGGATGGGATTGCTTAAGAACATTTAGGACAAAGAGTTCAGACCAAAACATTGTTTTTGTAATTTAAAGCAAGAAAATCCATTAGGAATTTTTCATCTGCCAGGACCATTTTAATGGAAGCCTCTCAGCATTGTTTATGACAGATAACAGAGTTTTTTTAACCAACAAAGAGACCCAACCTCATGGTTGCTGTGGAAACAGAAGGTAATGCTTAGAAACACTTCAGTACTTCTGATAGTTTAAGGAACATGGTGTAACAATATACAGATTTTTTTGGCGGAAATGTGAAAGCAAAGTCCAGGTCTTTGTTGTAAGCACATTCCAGCTATTTTAACCTTAGTGAGTGAGCAGTGAGGGTTGTCACGTCTGCTTAGGTGGGTTACTGTAATTTTTTTGCAAATCTGTTATTGATATATTGAAAAGAAACTGTTCCCAATGAAGTAGGTTTTACATTAAAAAAGGATATTTTTCATACTGAAGAAAATCTTTTTGTAACTTAGTGCATTTTGATAATTTTATATTGTCATATATCCATAATAGTCTAAAAATTCTTAAATGGACAGCTGACATATTCTTTAAAATGTGCCCAAAAAGGCATTTTGAGTACTCTGCAAAACGTGTATGTGAAAGCATAGTTTGGCTTAGCTAATGGACTGAAATCCAATTATGACTGTTTATCTTTGCTTGGTGTTTTGTGATTGTTTTACTGTGGACAGAGTCCTCACAGTTGGAGTGACCAGACTTTAAACTGTGGGCTATCAGGGACACAGTGGGTTGCTAATAGCTAGCAAGAATGTCTGCTCAAGATTGGCTGTCAGAGAAATGACATGTGACCTATAACTGGCCTGCCCTCTGGTGGTGATGTCTTTTGCTGTCTGCTTCCAGTGTTCAATTTTGGAGGGAAATTGGATTCCTTGAAACATAATTAGATTCAAACTTGGATGTTTGGTGGTAAAAATGTACTCTTGAAACTAAACATGTATTACTTTTTGAGTTGTATTGCAATCATATGTTTTCATCCAAATTTGATGAATTTCTAAATTATATTTATATTTTCTGTCAACCTCCAGACTAAGTTAGAGAAGTGCCAAGACTTGATAGAAGAAGCCAGTCTGCTTGCAGAGTCCGAGTCCTTCAAAGAGCACACGGGTATTCGTGAGGTTGCACGCACATTGAAGAGACACATTCATCACTTTACTAGTCGCGTGGAAGAGACGCGGGAGAGGATTGAGGATCAGTCCCAGTGTTATCATCTCTTGGATAAGGTGAGAGTGTTTTCTTTTTTATTTATTTATTCATTTACGTATTGTTTTTTAATTGCGGGCGGAGGGGGGGGGCAAAGCAAATTTTCTTCATCCATTTGTATAGTTTTAACATTAACAGAAATACTTCAAATTTGTGCATTTAGCAAAAGAAATTAAACAGTGCTTTCATAAAGACATGCACTTACTGATGAGAAAGTTGAACAAAAGTTAATCTTTGATGAAATCACCAAAATATGAAAAATACATATATTATTTAAGATCCATTGACAAGTTGAATAGCTTAACAAAGGAAAAAAAGTAACATGATATTGTTAGTTAACCCAATTTACATTCTTTTCCTCCAACTCCGCGACCACCACCCAACTTTAAGTAAGCCATTTTATTTTTGCCAAACAAGATTAGACATTGGATGAACTAAGTGGATTTTCAGCACAAAGTGCACAACTTATAAATTTGATTAATAGTAATACTCTTAAGTGTTAACTAATGTAAACCTCTGCTCTGGCCTCTTTTGAAAATAGCAATACAGTAGAAATACAAGTTAAAGCATTATGGAAGAGTTTGGCCATTTTTTTCTCTTGTGAGTATGTTTTGGAACCGAATCTTTTCTTGTCAGTAAACTTGTGTTTCAAAAAATAATTTGCTTTCTGAAGAGTCCGACATTTTGCAGCAGACGCCTGTCATGTGTAGAAAGTGATCCCAAGGTCATAGTTTAATGTCCGCTGTGGCAGCTGTTCACAAACCCAGCTTTGAAATGACTTGAGTCTGTGACAGTTATGTGTGTATGTAGGCAGATACAGGCATGCAGTTGTCTACGTCATTTTGATGTGGCAGCTGTTTCACTGGAAACTTTTAGAACACAGAGAGCAGCTTTTTTTTTTTAATCTAGACAGTTACAGGAGCAGATGTCTGTGACAGGTTTGTTGCATCGCAACATGGAGATGTCTAAATTTTCTGGTAGTTATGAATGTGTAGAACTTGAGCAATGTCAGGTACACATGTAGCTCCATGTCATTTGGCAGAAAACTACAGTACAGGAGGAGATTTGCTTGACTGTCTGTTCAACAACAGCTGGAGCCTGTTATATTGAAATTTTTGAGGTCCATTGGCTCACAGCTTGAATGAAGCCAGTCTTGTGCTTTAAGTCTTCTGTGGTAGTTTACATTGCAGCTGCAAATTTCTTTTGATGCCATAATTTTGGGTTTTTATGTACAGACACAGATGTGTCTGTACATATAGCCATCATCTGCGTCTGTCGTCGCCGTCGCCGTCGTCGCCGTCGCCGTGCACTTTTACCGATAACACGATAAGTGGAAAACTGTTTTTTCTTTTGGCTTGAAACTTACAGAACTGATGAATATTTGTAATACGCAGGTCAAGTTCGAAAATCAGCATGATCGGNGCCTTGTTTGGTTTAAATTTGCCAAGCATTATGCACAATATTGCTAAAATGATGCAACAAATTATCTCAATTTAGCAGAAAATAAGATGCCAGACAAGAATTTAATGTACGCTCTTTCTTTCCACAGGCTTATGAATGGGCATTGGAAGCCATGAAATATGTTGCCAGCATGAAAATGGACACTTGCAACACCATTGAAGGCCTTGAAACATTGAGCACCAGTTTAGCATCATACCTAAAGAACCACCCCCCTATAGGGGGAGACACCTTTGATAAGATGCAAGACTTAGCCGTTAGGCTCAAAAACGAGAAACTCCAAGAACAGTGCAAAGTGGCACGGTCTCGGTGTTTAGAGACTGGGGAGTTATTACGGGTACGCCAGCTTACACTATGTAAAGCCAAGGATCAGTTAATTGTAACTCAAATGAAAAAAGACAGTGAAGGGAGAAAGCCCTTGGTGATGCCAGAAACACCACAGATGAGACGGAGATATAGTCATGCATCAGACAGTGTAGACAATAAAGTGTGGCTGCCAAAATCTTCAAGTACGCCTGTTAGTCAGCAGCAATCTTTGGCGCATATTCGGCGGAGGTCGTATGCAGGAATGCCCTCCTCTCAGCTGATGCAGCCAGGGAGCAGAAACAGTGTTCAAATGTTCGGGGTTTCCCCTCCCACTTACAGGGACAGCATTGGAATGAATCTCTCTGAATATGAGGAGCAACTCTTTAACGAAGGACTCATCACTGAGGATATGTCACACAGAGTGGTGACGTCCATTCCCAGACCACGCTCACGGGAAAACCTTACCAAAGATGATGTGGATTCTGCAAGCATCTCTTCCGAATCCACAACAACATCATCATCCTCAACCACGGTGTCAATGAACAAAAAGGACAGGATTTTGAAGCCTCTTAGAAAAATGATAAAAACACACAGTATGCCTCTATTCACAAACTTAGGTGGTGCTAACTCTTCAATGTCAACGTCAGCGTCATCATCCTCGTTATCTCCACAGTGTGTCCAGCAGATGGCGCCAATTGTGGAGAGGAGGCAGGCTGATAGTTTGCTAGAGAAGAGGCAAGGGAAATCCATCAGTCTAATTACAGGGAGTTCTGACAGCTTACCTAGGTGAGTAACTAGGCTAGGCATGTACAGGCATATATATTTTATTCCAGTGTCATTAAAATTGTGTTTTCCTAGAATTGTGACTCTTACCTTGTGAAATGTACTGGTGAGTAACATGTCCCATGTATTCTGTTCAACATTCATGGAGTCGGGTGATACAAGCTTGTTCAATTGATTTCCATAAGTGACCAAAACAAAGAGGAAAGTTGAATTTGATTCTGAATAATTATGCCAACTATTTGTAGTCTGAATGTAGCCACAAACTAATAGAGAGTCCAATTTGATATTGAGTTTTGATGTCTTTGTTATGTAGTCTACCAGAAGAAGAGGAACCCCAGGTGACAGAGCCCCGTAAGGAGAGCTGGTCCCCAGTTCCTGTGAACACACATCTCATCAGTAAACCCCATCACAGCTCCATGTCTGATCTCAGGCTGACAGAGGCGGAGATCAAGAGCAGACGGTAGGTGCTGAGTTATCATAGAATACACACAAATACAGCAATCACTTAATATTGTTGAATGTCTCACATTTTCTATTATTTGACTTTTTTCAAGATTTATAATTTTCAGATGTTTAAAATAATGTACAAAATGCCAAAATACCTTTTTACAACATTTGAATAAACTTATTTAAGTACTACCTACAAAAATTTGTATATGTGTAAGGGGGGGGGGGGGGGGGGGTTATTACTATAATTACTCTAGGCTTTACACTGTGCAGTTTTGATTTTTTTATTTTAATAAATTCTGGATAGGATGTGTTAATGAAGGCAGTTGAGAAAGCATAAATTGAAAAAATATGACTTTAACGTTGAATAACTTTGTGAAAGAAGGGTACAATAAAATAAATATTTACTTCTTGAAATGCTTTTATTTTGTTCAACAATATTCCATCTGTGACTTCAGAACATTGAACCTTGTCATGCGTGAGATGGTCCAGACGGAGCGGGACTATGTCCAGTCCCTCAAGTATGTGATCCAAAACTACATTCCGGAGCTGGAGCGCGATGACGTGCCTCAGGCGCTGAGGGGCAAACGCAACCTCATCTTCGGCAATATCGAAAAGATCTACCAGTTCCATAGCCAATATTTTCTCCAAGAACTGGAGCAGAGTGAAGGGTCTCCATTCCAAGTGTGCCAATTCTTTCTACAACATGTAAGCTTTCCCCATCTTTGACAATTTATATTATGTAATGTTTCTTATAAAATAATTATTTTCAGAACATGATTTTATTTTCCTGGCACAAATACGAACTTGAATTAACTACCACTGGAAACTACTACCTTGTGTTTAGTAATTGAAGTTTTATGTATAAATTTTTTGCTGGTTATTTTTCAGGAACCTCAGTTTTACCTGTATGCCTTGTACAACAAGAACAAACCCAAGTCTGATGCCTTAATGCAGGACTATGGCAGCAGGTTCTTTCGGGTAAGGAACAATAATTTCAGCAAGTGATAACAGGAGGAGATAGATACTAGTTGGGGAAAAATTGTTTCTATGCAGCCATGCCTCATGGCAGTGATGAGTAATACTAACCAATTTTAGTTTTTTTTACCAGAAATTTTGTTTCATTCATGTCATCAAACAAATTTAGCACCAAAGCATTCATAATCTTCTTTAAAGCAAATCTGATATTGGTATGAAAACACAATGAATTTGAAAAGATTGTCCCACTGTAAAATTCTCATTTAAAGAAAATCTATCTTAGATCTTTTCAACCATCACACTGTTTAGTTGAGCACTTTTCATCCAAAATTCTAGCTCTTCATCTCTTTGAACTGACACATTGCTGTCTCGACCACCTCAATCTATTATAATATTTATTGGATATATATTTTGTGTTCCCTAGGCTAAGCAAGTGGAGCTAGGAGACAGAATGGACCTGGGGAGCTACTTGTTAAAGCCAGTCCAGAGGATGGGGAAGTACGCCCTCCTGCTCAAACAGATCATCAAGGAGTGCCCAGAGACGGAGCCCGAGTACCAGGATCTGAAGGTAGAGTACCATTTTTGATTAAGAACAAATGTTTACTTCTTGGGATGGCTGGCTTTTTCAAAAGGTCTTTTGTGAAAAGTTTGACAGACAGTTTGACAGAGAATGTTGTTGATTTAAAATTCAGCAATAGTATCATAATTTTAAATTGCCTAGCTGTTTGTTTAATCAGATGTGTTGCTTTATAAGTTAGAAGAAGCTCCTATTTTGAATTTTTTTCTCCAAAACAAAGGAAATGTGTGTATTTATTCTCAGGTCAGAACCTTAACATTTATCAGTCACACACAATTTTTTCTGCAGGCTGCTGAAGAAATGGTGAAGTTCCAACTTCGTCATGGAAATGATCTCCTTGCCATGGACGCCATTATAGGATGTGATGTCAACCTTCCTGAACAAGGTCGTCTGCTTCGTCAAGAGAGCTTCCTTGTCTGGCAGGGTCGACGGAAATCAGTGCGTCATGTGTTTCTGTTTGAGGATCTGATACTATTCAGTAAGACCAAGAGAAGTGCCTTTGGTCATGATGCTTACATTTACAAGAGCAGCATCAAGGTGAGATTTTTTTCTTTTTTAGTTGTGGTTTATTTGAAGTAGAAGTTTATTTGTTTGAAGTACTATCATTATTCATCCAAGATGTAAAAGTATTCTGTAGCAGGTCAGATCAAAAGATGGTTAAATTATTAAAAGTTTTCTTGAATGTGCAATTTTTGAATATTTTCATTGACTCATTTCAAGTTAAATAACTAATAATATTTCTGAAATTTATGCACTTTGTATTTATGTGCTAAGTTTATCAAAACTGATCAAAAGTCATCCATTTTGCCCCCTCAGACAACAGACATTGGGATGACAGAAAACGTGGGAGACAGTGGCTACAGGTTCGAGATCTGGTTTCGCAAACTGAATCATGGCGACACTTATGTCCTGCAAGCTGCATCCTCTGATTCGAAAAATGCCTGGGTGCGTGACATCTCTCGCATTCTCTGGAGACAGGCCATCAGAAATAGAGGTTGGTAGTAAAACAATTATTTTTGTTTATAGTAAACATTTTAATAAACCCATATCAATGAAATGTTTTCTGTTGCTTATAATGTCAGAAAAAGAACAATGCATTTTGGGGTACAATAAAAGAAACTGAACAATGTAGCAAAGTAAAGTAATTACAATATGTATGAATTTATAATAACCTTTGTCCTTCAGAACTGCGCCAAGCAGAAATGACATCAATGGGAATTGGCAGTAAGCCATGTATTGACTTGAAGCAGAGTGAAGACAACATCAGTGACAGGCTGGTGAACATTTCCATGGGGAATAAACGTAAGCCACTCGTCCAAGTTCCACACAACATTTTTGCCATGTTAGAATACTGTTCGTCAGTCATAAAACAGATTTCACTTTTCTGTTATTTGCTTATGTCATTAAATTACATAAATTAGTTGGGTAAAAAATAAAAATCTAAAATTGGACTAATTGTCAGGGTTACTTACATCTAATTTAAAGGCAACTGTTTGATGTCATGCACAACCAAATAACCTCCAATTTCTTTGATTAACTGAGAATTATCATATTTCTATTCTTATTATTTGAGTACATATGTATACAAATTATCAATATTTTTACTTTTAACTTTCCAGCTCGCACCAGGAATTCAATAGCTGTTTCTTCATTTGACCATCTAAAAAACGGCAACAAACGTCCACATTCCATTATCTCAGTCAGTAGCACATCATCGTCCAGTAGCGGTCAGTCCAGTTACCAAGGCAACATGTTTGGTACACTCAATGTGACTCTGTATGAGCAGGGTGAAGATGACTTCTCCAAACCCTGCAGGTCTTATACACTGTGTTCAGTAGGTGAGGGACAGATCTGGTCATGTTTTGATTGTTTTAAGCATAGGATGATATTAAAATAGTTAGTACCTTTGAAACAATTCCACCAGAAGACACTTTAGGTAATGATGATAATTTTCTACATGAAATGCTAACCAATTTTCTACATGAAATGCTAACCCATATCTGCAATGATTTATCATGGTGCCATGGATTCAAAAGTAAAAATTGATTAGTTTTCTTTTGCACGGAGATACTCAAACAACTTCTGTGACTTTTAAAACATTAACAAATGTACAGATATTTTCATGAGGTAGTTTTGTACATTCCTAGGGGCAAAAAAAGTGAAGTTTTTTTAACATTCTTTTCTCAAATTTCAGAGAGTGGTATTTGTGCAGACATGAGCACAGAATCCAGTGAGTCAACCAGTAAACGTGACGTGGAGAGAAGTGACAGCGGGGCATCTGTCAGCTCTTACACGCTGCAAGCCTCACCAACATCCACCATGGCATCCAGCTCTATGGTGACAGAGGTAATGTCCATTAGTATGATTGAAAAAAATATTTGCCAATGACAAAATTATCTTTATAAAATGTGCTCATCTGGACTTTGTGGCAAGTTTAAATCTGTGCATTTTGCTAGTAATTTGCAGAAAAAAAATAAAAATTCTCTTTGATATATATACCAGCATTTTTCATTTATAAAGATTTGAATTTTCAACAATGAAAGGTTCAAAGTAGAACAATGCTCTTACTTCCACTTAATGTAGTTTTTCTTACATTTCAGGTATAAAAGAAGTATAATGTGCATGATCAACTGATGTGAATTTCAAAGTGCCAACTGACATGACACGATGGTGTGTGGACGTTGTAGAACTCAATATTTTCATCCAAAAATGATCCTTTCTTATTGTCAACAAGTAAAACTGAGGTGGGATTTCCAGAAAACATAAGGTACTACATTGGCTTATCTTGGAAGTAATCACCTTCTGGTGGTGACACTTGACACTATGGAGATGGATACATTGCAAAAATAGTGGAATTACAGTGAATTTCGAAACTTGGCATGAAACAACAATGCTATGTCATTTTCAAAGCAGCATTCAAGCACCAGAATGGTATTTATGTAAATTATGAATACAGGATCTTTTAAGAACCACAAATTGTAATTAAAATCTTTTTGCTGTCTTTTGTTTAAGCAGCAAGGTCTTAGTTGCTTTATTAAAAGCAGAAATTCAATTTTAAAAAATCCCAGAAAGTATTTTAAAACTGAAAGTTTATTTGCTTTATTTTATAAAACAAATAGAAAACATGGGAGATTTAACTAATGCATTTGGTTTGACTTGCAGGCTAGCTCTCAGCCTGTAAAGGTATCTTTACTGTTATTTTGTTGTTGTTATTAGAACAAGTTTTTTATTACTGTTTTGATTTACAATCACATTTCCTGTTATTTATACACCTGTACATCTGTTGCAGTTTTTACCTCATACGTGGCGAACTTGGAGTGCAATGTAGAACAAATTTCTGAAATTCCAAATGCAAATGTTAAGTATATCAGTGCAAATGTCGGTGGATAATTTGAATTTTATCCAAAGATGAAGACAGAGATTCTTAGTTTTGCTTAGATATTACTGCCGGAAATATATAACCACTTGTAAAGCAATAAGAAAACATGAACCCTTTTTTTATTAAAATTATTAAAAGAAATGGACTAAGCAATAAGAACTTTTAAGAATGGTCTTATCCTATGCTACCATTAATCAGCAGACTGCTGAAATATGTGATCTGGAAGCTAATTGAGTTAAATCACAAATGATAATTATTTTTGTTGATACTGTGAAGAAATCAGTAGAAGAAATTCAAACTGTTTTTCCTTGCAAGTTGTTAGCTTTGTATATTTATGTACAGATCTGATGAGATTATTATTATTAAATGCATGTATGTGTAGTGTATATATCATCTAGATTTTATATAAATACAACTGTTGTTATTAAAATAATGATATTATTTTTGAAACAAAAAACTTTGCTATGCAAGAGGCATGCTGTTAATATATTTAAACTGTGCTGATGCAGTGGTTTGGGTATTTGCCAGATCAAACACACTACTACTGTGGGGAAAATATAAAAAAAAATTCTTATAAATAATAAAACATACATATGAAAATATTTGCACAATTGATTTTTTATTGCTTTCGTTTTTTACATAAAAAAAGAACATTTTTTATAAGTGGTGGGATGATTCAGTTAGAAATGGTGATTTCACTGCCTTATTTTAAAGCGCATTCAGAATTTTGATAAAAAATAAAAGTTAAAAATTATCTAGGACACCCAGCACATTCTGACTTTCAAATGCGAGCTCACCAGAACAATGCTTCACAGTTTCTGAAACTTATCTAGAGCACCCTATCCACCATGTTTTCTTGAATGCTAGGGTGGGTCCAGTACAGAGATTTTCTTGGTAAAGGTTTGTTCAGGAAAGAGAAACGACTTCATCGTTGTTTCCAATTCTTCCGAAGCCATCTGAGCGTGAAGCTTTATGACATCATCAGTTTCCACTGTCATGACATGTTTCAGTAGTCGGTAAATGTCACGAAGTTCAGATTCCAGTACCTGCAATATAAAAAAAAATTGTGCAACTTACTCATTTAAATAAACACAAGGCACTTCATTTTGCCAGGTATCACAAGAAAAAGGCCAAAACGATTCATTTCCCAAAAAGTTTATAAAGTACTTTTAAATAAGCTTTTCCTTGTGTCTTGTGTAAAAGTGTAAAAAAGTTAATAGTTTCTGAAGATTAAACAAGCCTGTACATAGAAGGCATTAAGTCTAGACCCTTCATTGAAACATCAAGCCTCATTGGTTGAAAAATGTTTCCTTTCTTTAAAAATGATCAACCTTCTTTCCTATGGAAAAAAATACTCTTCTGCTGTAAATTCTGATTCATACCTTCAATGCATCTTCTCCCAGTCCCTGTAGTAACAAAGTAATCAGCTGCACAGCGGCTCGTCTTACTTCAACATGGTTGTCCGTCTTAGCCAGACTGCTGCAGCAAGCCAGCACCTAAAATGATCATAGCCAAGATATGGATAAAAAAAATCAATTTGAAGGCAACAGACAAGGTTCAGTGACAGGGTATTACTGCAACCATATGTCCCTCTTGGAATGAAGAGGGAGAGCTAACTCGTTGTATACTTACTATGAACTGCTTAGCCAAGCTTACCTCTTGAGTCACAGGTCCCAGTGAGAACCTCAGTAATTTACAAACTTCCCCAAGATTTGACAGGCTACTAGCTCGTATCAGGAAGTCCCCATCTTTGGCACCAGACAGAAAGGCAGTAAGCAAAGGATTTCTGAACTTTGGGACTAAATCACCTATAAACAAGGAAAACTTGTCAATAAAATTTTTAACTCAAACAATGTATATAATATAAATGTACATATCACTTATATTCTTTGAAAAATTATACAAAAGACACTGCGTGTAGCTAAAAATGTTTGTGTTGTTTAAAATTAACCAACTGTTAAAAGAACTAAAAATAATGTATGGATTTTAAGGTTGCATTCAAACATACCTAAACACCTGGTGCTTTTCATCAAAACTTCTCCAAGTTTCATCCGCAACTCTGGACTTCTAGCTTTGGGATGTCTGCCCTTCTCCATTTGCCCATCATCGAAATTCCCATATTTTGCAGCTAAAACTGGCACTAGGTGGCCTGGATGAGTATCTGCAAGACAAGCCAGACCTTGGATTGCACTGAGGTAGATATAGGAATCTTCGTGATCCAAGTTCTCTTGGAATACTTTTGCTAGTGTTTCCCATTTTTCCATGGCTTTAGGGTGTCTTTCCTTGAGCAATCTTGACAACACAATTTGAGCATGTCCCCTAGTTGGGATAAAATGGTCAAATAATTCCTGGAAAGCAGTGTCAAAAACATCAGATGTAGAAGATGAAGCAGTCATTTTGTCACTGGATTTTGAATTTAAATCAGTCGATGAGTTTTTACTATGGTTACGATTCTTTATCTTATCCTTAGTATCTGTTTTCTTCTGGGTAATTTCTTCTACAAGTTTCCTGCCTCCTGCTAATTTAGGTCCTGGCATCATTTTCTTTGAGTCCTCCTTTCTGCCTCTTTCCTCCACTTTAACAGCAGAAGTCCCACTTGCATCTGTGCATTTTCCATGATCCATCCTTTCTGTCACTTGCTGGAAGCTCTTGCTGTTTTCCCCAAGCCAGACTTTCCCCCTGGTTGCTATGGTTACTCGCAGATCTCCAGCCAGTGATTGGATAAAAGGATCAGGGTGTCGTCTGCCAATGTTGTCAAGCAGAGGAAGAAACTCCATCATGAAGTCTTTGTCTGCTGAAGAAAGCTAAGCAACAGGGGACAAACCAATGAGCAATATACAGGTAGGTCTCGTTGTATGGGGACGGTAACAACTGGTTACTTAAAAAAAACTAAACATGTTTTTATCATATAAAATTCTTAATGATCTTTCACTGGCTAACACTGATGGCTAACACCATTTTGCTGACACCATTTTGTTTCTATCTTAAAATTTTAAATTTTAGAATCAGAAGCACTTTTAAAATTCTCCCACAGATCCCTGCCTCACCTGGTCTCCTCCTAGCATCATGGTCAACATGGCCACAGCCATAGAAAGGGTCTCTTTCCCAAATACTTCAAGCTCTTCTTCATCTTCATCCTCTAGCTCAAGCCTCTTTGCTTCACGTTCAAGTGACACCTTTAAAATACACAAAAAATTGGCTATCAATAAGTTTTTAATTTTCTCAGTAGAAAAAACTTCACTGTACACTAACAATGGACTTTGTCTCCATAATATTGATTGAGAACATTGAAAACAGATGGAGTTCAAAGCAAAGAACTTACAGCCAAAAGGGAATTTTAAAGTTAAACAAGCATTTGAAAAAAAAAGAAAAGAAAGTAAAACTTTTATTTTTGGTAATAAACTAATAACTCTAACTGTTCTTACTACCAAGCAGTGTACAACAAAATTAACCACACCAGTGGCCTTGGCCCGACTCTCACCTTAACAAACTCCAACATGTGCCTTGGGGTCTTCAAGCTGTCTTGACCCAGGCTTTCACTCAAGGCTGCCACCAGTTGGAGCACCGTCAGGTTGTAGAGGAGCTCCGCCGTCTGCTTGTCTCGCGTCTGCTCCAGGCGGAGAAGCTCCTGGCCTGGTTTCACTGGAGACTGATCAGGCTCCATTTTCTTGGAGATGATACTGGTCAGCTCCTGATGGAGATGAATTGTTTCAGATTAAATCCAGTGTGAGAAATCCAAGTTTGTCTTGGTGACAACAAGAGTGATCAGAATTTATCTACATGAGTGTGTAAATTATCACAGTTTAAATGATAGCCACCAAATTTTGATTAAGTTACTATTCTCAGAGTTTTGATCAAGTTACCACTTTCATTTTGCTAAATAATACTATTATTGGACACAACATTATACCAAATAATAGTCTTCAGGTCCCACCAATAAGCCATGAAAGGATTGGCAGAAACACACATATGTATGTTTGAGAAACAACACCTTACTTCAGCATAATTATTTCAAAGTATTGCCCACCTGTAGTAGATAAATAAAGAATGCTGCAACAAGTCCTTCTTGCTGAAGATCTGTTAAAATGTCCATGACTCCAGCTATCCTCTTGTTCATCTGCTCCCATTCATCTTTTCTGCAGGAAAAAATATAAATGACAATTGAAGAATTACATATGGCTCTGCTTGGTATCACACTTGTTGAAATATTAAGTTATTATAATTACTCCTACAAATTGAACATAAGACAATTCTACAGTACCCTTCATCCTACCCTCCCCCCCCACCCCCACCCCCAGCCACTAATAAGTTTCATCATCCCTTCAAGAGGTCCACCTGATAATTCCAACAGGCCATTTATCTGCATTTACCCATTTAACAGATTAAGATGTGTTATGGAACTAAACCCTATGAACACTTCTAGATATATAACAGATAAATTGCTGATAGTTCACTTACTCTTCCTCCCTGACTGTTCCCACTACCATCACCCCTCCGTTAGGTCCAGCCGAAAATTCTAAATGGCAATTCATGTCAGCAGACACTTGTTTGTTCTTACCACAGGAATACATGTGCAATACTCTCACTGCTGTAGACTGATCCACACTTTTCATGTAGTGAAGCAATGGGGCTTTGACTGCTGCCCTGGAGACACAAAATACACGCTCAGTCACAGTTTTAAATAGTAAATTGGATCAAAAATTCATGCCTGCATGCAGATGAGTAATCTTGTAATCATAAAATGCTTTGAATACATAGATATTGTTAGTTACCATACTGAAATCTAACTGTACCTATTGATACCTCAATATATTAATTCATTTTATAAATATTTTCAAGTGTTACACTCTTATTAACATATCTCTTGTCAAAATGTTAACAGTTTTATGGTAATTGTATAAAATCTCAAAAATACTACCTAACATGTGAAATCCCCTGCAGACAGTAGCAGTGCAACTCAAACAGGGGTACCAGAACCTGCTCCAGGACAACTTCTGAGAGTCCACACTGGGGGTCGCCACCTACCACTAGGATTTTACAGATATCATCAAGACACTCCGTTAGTTTCTCTTCACAAACCACCACTTGACCTTCTGATGGATTCAGCTCTGTAATATTCAATTTTAAAAAATTCAAAGATGGAATGAAGTTTGTGTGGTAAAGACACTCCACATTCAACCAACTGTGCTCCAACTACTTAACTTCAACTTTCTTCTTTTTATTTTATTTCATGATATTGCCACAGTCACTTCCTGTACTGAATATCTTAAAGATTGCCTGGATATAGAATTAAATTTTTTACTGAATTGGACATAAATCAGAATACTGTTATCCTGTTAAAGCCCGAAAATAAAAAAGATCAAATTGCTCCAAATAATTTCACTTGTTTGACTACATCAATTCACCTTGGGTGCAGAGCAGCAGTGGGTTTAGGACAGGCTGAACCAAGTATCTCTGCGCCAACTCAGGCTGTTGTAACATCATGGCCGACAAAGTGCAGCAGGCGACACGGAGAAACTGCCGTTGAACTTGTGGGTCTCTGAAGTGCAGCAGTTCTAGAATCTGTGAGGAAAAAAAAACAAAACATGTTTTCATCTATGACCCTTCCATGAAATGGCCTTGATTTACATTTAGATCCCATTCCCATAGCCACCATCAGTCTACATAGATGGAACCAACTCTGTGGGGACTCTTGCTGAGTGCAATCAGCTAAATTGAATGACACTTCTCCTCTTGTTTCCAATGTAGAGTATAATCACCAGCTTTTCTGTATTCTACTCAATGCCGGGAGGAGGAAGGTCATTCAATTAAGCTGATTCAGCGACGTTGTCTATAGGAATGAGGCCCTACTCTAATCTCTGTACAAGAGCCAAAAATCTATTTTACTCATGCTGGTGTAGTTGATGTCATGTGCTCTAGACAGAACATATTCAAAATAGAATAAATAAATTTTAATGAAAATAATGAAACAAATTGACAATATCAATATTACCTGAGGTGCCACCATTTTGTAATACTCCTCAGCAGACGTGACCTGAGAGGGAGGTTTGGCAATAATCTGACCAACCACAGCACACTTCTGCCAATCATCGCCACCTGGTGGACAAATATCATGAATGACTTGCCAAGTGACCTTAACTAACTCGCATTTTGGTACAAAATTCAGAGTAAATACTTTTCAAATAAAAAAAAAAACCTCAACGTGATTAATTTTAACAAAAAATCTGACAGTGACTTAACCCAGATCTCTTATAATCAAAGCTATCAATACAAAGAGAGAAAGACCAATACCTGCAGTTTCACTGAGAATTCCTCTTATAATGGCTTGAACCCCTCGCGGCCTTGTCATTATTTCAGACAAAAGGCGACTGCACTTCTTCCGCAGCCACACTGGAGATTTTACTTGTACTGGGCCAGCCTAAAGGAAAGTGATAATGACCTCAATAAGAATTAAAAATATAATAATATCTTTTGAAGGATTTTTAATATCACTGAACTAAACCTAAAGACAAAAAAACAGGGAAAATTAATATGAAATTCATAGAAATGCATGATAACTTACCCCTTTGCTATGTTCCTTACTTGGCATGCTTCCCTGCAACACAAGTAGTTCACGGACTAGCAGCGGCTCATAAATATGAGTCAATAGATCCTGGAGATGACTCTCACACACCTGTCTGGCAGATTCAAGATCAAAACTGCTGTTAATATGCAGATTCTTTTCTGCTGAACCCAATGCTTCAAGCCCTAATAAAGGTTCTTTCTGTTCTTCAGATATGTTTGGTTCAGCGGGTGTCGCTGTACTGATCTGCCCACAAGATGTCACTGCTGCAGGTTTACCACCAGGTGTCACCACCTTACAAACATTTTGCCCACTGCCTTCTTCTGCTCCTCTTTTGTCGGCTGTCATCTGCAGTAATGCTGCCAAAATGTCCCCCAAATGTCTGGATAATATCAAGGTTCCTAACACAGGATGTTTTGCGCTTTCAACTAAAACTTTAACGGAGTGAAACAAAAAGCGTTGCTTATCTCTGACAGACATACTTGCTCCACTGCTTGAGAGTTTAACAATGTCAGAGTATCCTGAGCGTTGTTCAAAGGAAACCCCAACACCAGGTAACAAGTTGGGACATATACCAAGTCCAATGATAAATTGTAATAGTGACTGAATTGTCTTATCTTGGCTGACGCTGAGAACATCTTCTCCTGCTGGCTGAGGTTTTTGGACTGGCTTGGCTGGCTGAGATTGCAGTTGTTGAGAAGAAGACAGAACTGGGTGAGATTGTGTTTGCTGAGATGCTATCGCATTTTCAGAAGATGGAGAAACATTTTGCAAGCTTCCATGCAGCTCCTTCAAGAGTATGACTGCAGTGGAGAGAAAAGATGTGACACTTTGAGAGCCAGAACCACAAACTGCAAGGATTTCTTCACAGAGTTGCTGATATTCAGTCTGTGATGAAAGTTTCTCTTCCAAAGCTGTCAAGTTTTTCTCCAATGCTCTGTTGAAACTGGGAGCATCTGAGCCTAAAATATTGACAAATAATTTGACAAATAAGACTACCTGAGGAAGCTAGAGGTTACAAAAGGGAATTGCCCAACATGTTTTTGCTTTATTTCTTCAAGAAAAAAAGAAAAATGGTAAAATTATGTGCTATCCTTTAAACAAAAATAAGGAGTGCTATGGTACAATAAAATTGAGTGCCGTGGTACAAAAAAATTATATATATATATATATATATATATATATATATATATATATATCAAGAGTTACAAAAAGAGTGTGTGACACCTGTAAGAGGTTACATAAGTTAGTTGAAAAGAGATATTTAACTGTTTGAATTTCTCTACCTATTTCATCTTTAACTGGTGAAACCAAAATATTGATCACTTCTACAACTTCACTTGGCAGCAGCATCTGGAATGAAAGGTAAAAAGTAAAATGTCATATAAATTTAATTACAATGGCACAAATTGGCAGTTATAAGCCAGTGTCCTCAAGACAGCATATTATACTTTATGGTGTATGATTTAATAAAAAAAAAATTAAAAGGAATAGTACTGTTACGTACCAGTATGCTAACTTTCAAGGGAGACTGATAAAAATTCAAATCAAACAACGAATGGAACTATACAAATGGTCAACAAGTTGCATCATGTTAATGTTTGGCGGTGCACTGTTGGCCGTTCAAAATTGCCACTATTTGGGTCTTACAGTTACAGGCTAGATACAGTTGTACTTTACATGTTTACAACCGTACTGGACCGGTAGGAGGGCCGAAAACTGTGGCAACTCCTGATGCAGTTTGGCTAAATCTGGTGAAAGGATCTCCATGAAATTCACCTCCGTGCTTTGAATAGTCATGAACCTTTCACAGCAAATTTTGCTCACCTGTGCTTACCTTAAATAGACTTTAATCTTCGACTGATTGAACTGATCTTCGACTTCTTCTTGCAACACATGTTGAGAATAGCGCGAAAAGTGTTGTGTCTATCGATGCGTCTATCTAGTATTAGTTTTGGTCTAGTTATGATATATTCACACATATCGTTCTCTTTTTATCATAAATATGTTATTTTTGTATGACCATTAATACAAACATTCATTTTGGTGACCACATAAGTAAAAACTAATTGTTAAATTATCAACGGTACTCTCGAGTCATTTTCACCGCTGCCGTAGGTGGGTACCTAATTGACGTGTGGCAAACAAGATGGGCAAGTAGCCCTCGGGTAGTGGAAAAAACCTAGGATTATTGCCCATAAATACACAATAAAGGAATGCATGATAATGGTAAGATAGAGACATCAATATACCACGTATCCTTAGAATGCATTACAAGTAAATGAACTGTCTGAAGTTGCACTTTAAAGAATGAATAAAGAACTTGATTGAATGTTTCACTTGTTAAACTTATATTTTGTTAAAATGTTTATTTTTCCTCTCTTCCTCTCTCCATATTTAGTTTCCAGTCACTTAATGTGCAATTAATGTAAAACCCCGCCCAAAATACGCATGCTATTGTGGTGTCTGTTAAAAACTTCATTCGGTGTATTTACAGGATTTCTCTAAATTTCTGGATGAAAATTTTGACATCAAAGAATGGGTAAATGCTGCTTTTAAGTCCCAGAAGGATCCAACAGTCAAAAAGGATGTGAGTATTGCATATACCACAGTATATTTGTGCAAGCATCTTTAAGGGACATATCTGAATCTTAAAGTCTTGCTGTTAGCGATTTTAATGGCATTGGAGTTTAAGATTCAATTTAAAATAATATTTTAATATAATAATAAAATCATCCCCATGGCTGTTTCATGTATATGTCAGTTTTTTTTCTTTCTTTCATTATTTTTCAGTTTCCCTTGTTGAACTTTCCTTCTTGTCTTTATGTTTTTATTTGACTTGTTATTTTTATTTTTTTATTTTTTTGTTTGCAAATGGTTGATAAAATTGATGCAATATAATTTCAGCAATATGCCACTACCATGGTGATGAAGCTACAGATGTTCATACAAGAAGTGAACAATGTCATTGAGGAAGCAAGTCAGCAGGCTGTTCAGAATTTACCCAGGTAATCTGAACTGAGGTTGCATTCAAGATTGCTTCATTAGAGAAATGTACTTGTTATTGTGACATTGATGCTTTTTATTTATTTTCTTTTATTATTTCAATTGATTATTAGGTAGTTGAAATGTCTTGACAAAGGTGGGTAAATGCTTTTCTTAATTTCAGAATTTTGATTGTATGAATATTTTCTTGAAATATGATAATAAGGGGGCAATGCAAGATACTTAAAATGAATTTTGTGGTTATTGTGAAATTGTTCTTTCAGTGTATCACATGGTAGTGTTTTTTTTTTTTTTTACTGTAGGGTTATTCGTGAGATAGAAGCGGTAAAACAGGAAGCATCTTTGCTGCAGGACCAGATGAGGATGGTAAAAGAGGACATTCAGAAGGTGTGGAGGAATATGAGAATATATTTCGAATATAGATGCTCTGATATAGACAAATACATCACTGACATTATGATTTTAGTATAATGAAAATTGCATTTATGTATTTTATATTTATCTAAGATAGCAAATGTGTAGAAAAAAATTGCTGCAAAACTTAATTACCCATACATGTATTTAAATTTGGTCTTAAGAATGACATATGATATTTTAAGATATTATTTGAAAAAATGTTTCAATTTCTCAAACATTCAAGTAGTAGAATAACACGTTGGTGTCATGAGTAAGTCCCAAACATGCCAGAAGTATACAGTAGTGTGTGTCTTCTAATTTTTCTTAGCAAAGGATTTCAAATAATTTTCTGTTGGTTTTATTCCTCCTATTAGGTAGAACATGACACCTCACAAAGCATGCAGATGCTGCTACAGTTGGACAACATCAAATCTAGAATGCAAGCTGCTTCTAATGCTCTCAAGGTATTTGTACAACAGAGCTGTTCCTCAATTTACAATGTTATACCATATTAGCCAAATACTTGAATGGTTTTATTGAAATCATGTATCGAAGTCGATTTGCAAATAACTGAAAAGCCATATCATATATTTTGAGTGGTTTGAAACAAATTAATGTGCAAGGTACGCAGTCACTTTCGGGTTACACGTGCCTTTTGTTTAACACAATTAGACAAATTAAAAAAGAATTTGGAACATACATATGAGCAGAGTTGTTCAATTTTTAACTTTTATTTAATTTTTTTATAAATCATTAAAAGTATGGATAATATTGGTAAATGTTTTAGAATGTTTTAACATTAAATGCCAGAATGTTTTAGAACCAGTGTGTGACTCTTATTTTGTAGGAAGCCGATAACTGGTCTACTCTCTCAGCTGACATTGAAGAAGTTTTTGATTCTCAGGATATAAATGTGGTAAGTTATCAACATGTATATATATATATTTGGATTCGGTCAGTAGTAATTTCAATCAAATGAAGAACAAACATAAATTCTCATTCTGGACACATACAACAAATGGTAAGAGCTCTAACATTGGTCCATTTCCCATAGATATCATCACTCAGGAAACTGAACTTGTTATAAGTATAACGTTTAATTCTCAAGCTTTATGTGAAACATGGTAACAATTTTAAAGTTGTTTTGTTCTGAAACATCTTATTTATTTTATTGACTTGACATTGGTCACAAGCAGATCTAGTATGAGCGGTTAGTCTGAATATGCCAGCTGACTGTTGGTATAGTGGCAAAGTGTATTTATGCACTGGAGAAATGTTTTATGTAATGGAAATAAAACTGCTATAAATGGGAACTTGATGGACAAGATATGGATAACAGGTAGCTTTGGCCTTTGACTAAACATTCCTTTACAATACATTACTTCTTATCAGTCTAGTGTAATATTTATAGATGTTTTTTGATGATTCTTCCATTTTCCTTTTATAGATAGCAGAAAAATTGGTTGGAATGCAGCAGAGTTTGGTAAGTGGATGTTTATAATTGTATGTTTTTTTGGTCTGTGGTCTATTATCCAAGTGAATATTAATTTATCCAAAAAATAGATAAGTTGGTCAAATCTGTTTGTTCATGATTTATTCAAGCATCAGGCATTTTCAAGTTCATTGGTCTTTAGTGTTGAAAAATCTTTTATTTTCCTTATATGATTTTATATTGTACTGCTTAATAAATAGTGACATTGACTTTGAAGAAAATCATTTAGACATCTTCACACAACCCAGCTAAAAGGAGCAGAAAATATGCAATTTTGTCTGTGGTTTCATTCCAGCAAATCTTGGTGGATGTTCCTGATTATAAAGATAGGTGTCAGCACTTGGAAAAACTGAAAAATAGACTGGAAGCCATGTTGAGTCCACAAGTTGTAGCAGCTTTCAATGCAAAGTCTTTAGGTGATACTTCACATTCTGTGAGACTGAAAATTATCATAATTATTTGGAATTTTTATGAAGTATTACATGTCATTGATTTCGCCACTTGTTGATTATTGTTGTATCGGCTTTGGATTCAAATCTTTTGGGAAAGTGTTGAATGAAATTCAATTTCTGAATATTATTATTACTTAAAAAGACTTGAATGATGAAATATAACAAATTAGGTAAGAGGAAGGTTTTCCCTCTACTAAATAGATAATGCTGACCTGGAGGTATTTACAAGTTTTTTCTCTTTCCTCAGAATCTGCCCAGGTTTACGTAAAAATCTTCTCCAACATAGACAGATTGCCACAGCTTTACAAATACTATCACAAGTGCCATAAGGTGAGCCTGACACATTATTAAAGATCTACAACTTGAATTCCATATCTTTCCCAGATGTCAGCATACAAACTGTGAACTAAGTGCCTGTAGTGGGATTATATGATTGAGATCTTTTTTTGATTCAGAAGTAAGAAGTAAACATGACTGTCATTAACTCTGAATGGGGTAATCCAGACCACCATATTTGAATTTTGAGGTCTTTTTAGCCCCAAACTGAAAACTGCGAGGATCATTTATTAGTCACTTAAAATCCCCTTGTTTGACAGTGTTTGTCATGTTTTGTGAAAATGTGTCAGGGAGCCCAAAAAGCTACTCATAACCATGGGATTGAGTAGCCAAGTTTCTCTTGGAGTATCACAAGTCTAAACTGATGCATTTTAGACTGGACCTGGTTTTCTGTTTCCTACTATTTTCCAGACTCAGCTGTTAAATCAGTGGAAGACAATAGTAGAGACGAACCAAGAGGAGACTGTGGTAGAGTGGCTGTCAGAGTTCTACGACCAGATGTTTTCAACTTGGCACACACAGGTGAGTGCAAGTGTGGAGATTTAAGACAAGGGTTGCAAGTGACTAGTGTTTTTTTTTTTTTTTTTTTTTTTTTCAGGCTGTCTTTTCCTCTTGCATATTGGATTTGGATATCATTTGGCAGACATGACCTTTATGAGCACTTTTCAAGACAATGACGTACACTGTAAATGATACCTGTAGTTATCTGGGTGATATGCTGGGGGTCTGTAAGGACATCCAGTATATATCCAGTCCCAAAAGAGTCACATTACTCAACTTGCCTTTCCTGCCCTCTTAACTGATGCACATCAACCTTGTACAAATCCACACTGCATCATTTACTAGCTCTGTCTGGAAGAGACAGTGTTAGAGAAATAAATTTGCATCCATCCCATGAATACACCCTACCATCCACAATTTTGGCTCATCCAATTAAATATTGATTCATTTTTTTATTTTTCTTTACTAATTTATTGCCATCAGGTGCAGTGGTGCAGTCAGGTTTTCAAGGAACCAGAGAAGATTGTCAGCCAGTTGTTAACAGAAACTTTGGCTGCCATGGAACCATCTATCCCATACTGCATTGCTAACTTCCTGGAAAGCAAAAGCAGCCCATTGGACGCATTGATGGAGGTGCTTCAAGTATGTGGACACAAAAAATTAGATTATGAATTGCCCTTCACTACAATAAGCATAAACTGATACTATTAATTTCTTTGGTTCAGTTAAAACCTGCAGAAATAATTTGATAATAATAATTCAGGTCTTGAGAAATTTAAATAGAAAATGCAGGCTACCCTTGACAACAATATACACAAATTTATACTTATTTTTGTTTGGTTTAATTCAAGTGATGCTATAAAACTATGAATATTTTAGGTCTCAGAAAGGTTTGCAAAAAGTATCGAGACTGCTCTAGAAAGTCATGCAGAGGGACCTTTGGGAAGTGAGTACTCCGCCACCCTGGCCATGGCCATTTACGCCCCCTATAGGTCATATGTACAGAGATATGAGAACTACGAGGAGGCAGCACTGAGCACACATTTGAATAACATTCCACTGGTTAGTTAAGCCTTGTTTATCTAAGCAAATAGCTACAGCAGGTTGAAGGTTTTTTATAAGTGCTTTATATAGATAAATATGTCATATAGGAAACAAAAAGGAAAATAATAAAATTCATTTTTAATAAATTGCTATTCATATTTGTGATGAAGTAGACTTTACCATGAATTGGAGGAGACATGCTCTTATCAAGGTAGATTTTTAAATAACAAACTGTAAATTTGACAATTGCAAAGAAAAGATATTGAAGTAGCATAATGTTTCTATTGCAGTATTGCTAATGTTCAAAAAAATTTAGTTTTTATCTTTCACACCTTATGGTTTCTGCTGCTTCTCATTTACTCCCTAATTATGTCATTTCCCTGTTGTATACAGGACAAGCAAGAGGTTATGGACTCTGTGAGAGTTTTGGGAGAATCTGTCAACAAACTATTTTCTGCAGCAAACAAGGTATTTCTGAAATACATTGCAATCATTTATTCGTGTTCTTCATTCATCCAAAGTATAATGTCAAGTATTTTACATCAGTCAATTTGTATGTCATTTTATTTGAAAAAATTAATAATTGAGATATATAATAATTATCCTTTCAGGGCAATGAAAGATGTCTAAAGTTAACTCATGGATGTGGTTACATCAGCCTATTACAAGCTTTAAAGGTAAAATAAAGCTTTTAAATTGCATACCAAAATAACATTGTCTAATATAACAGTGACTTTAAATTTTGATATTCAAAGAAAGCAACCATAGTAGATACATCCCATAGTTGCCTTTACTTTAAAAATATGGTTGAAAGTTGAATAATACATATGGAAATACTTAGAACCATGCTTTATCTTTACAGAACTATTTTATCAACTATGGGAAGGAATTCCGCCGGGTGTTGACCAATCTGAGAGAGAAGATCAAAATGGGGGACAATGACCCTTGGGCACTCTTCCAGCACTCTCTACGGATTATACAGACTTGTGGTCAGTTTGAGAGTTGGACAATGATATTTTTATTTTGAAAATGTTATTTGATAAAATGATATTAAAGTCATCACTATTTCGTGAAACCACCAAAACATGACATGGCGTGAAATTTCAAGGAATATTTTATAAGTCAAAACAAGAGTAAAAAAAAGACGTTTAAAAGCTAACTCACAATATTTTCAAATCAGCCATCTTTAACATAAAAATAAAATAAGCCCTTGTTAAAAGTAAATTAATTTTATATGTAGTTAAAAAAAAAATTATTATAATAATTTATTTATTTTTGCACACTGTGTTTCCAGGAGAACTAATCCTGCATGTAGAAGAGTTGGATGATAGTTTGATGAGCAATATACTACATTCCATTGGCAAACAGACACCCTCAACTCCTAAAATTGGGGGAGAAATACGGTAAACTGTATTCCTAACCATCAATTTCCAAACTGTTTTGAATAAATTGAAATCATTTACTATTCAGTCATATTTTAAATTTATGATTTGTAATCATATTATTAGTTTTATGCCCTTAAGAGCACATCATTTAAAATGAAGATCTTGCTTGTATATATTATCATATTTTTTCTTACAAATATCCTGAGAGAACCCATGTTTCATTTTCAGACTAAGGGTCAACCCATTTCACCAGTACACAGAGCTTTTGATAGAGAAAGTGGAGGATAGAGAAGCACTGGAATTACTTGTAACTAAACTGGAAGAAGGTGAGATATTGATACTTTTTGTCAGTACCACTCTGTTGTATATTTTTAATCAGAACTATGTGAAATTATTAGTAGATATTTGCATATTTTAGTTAAATGTTATAATAGTACAAAAGAGACAGAACTATATGAATTAATTAGTAGATACTTGCATCTTTTAGTTAAATGTTATAATAGTGTAATATAATAAAAGAGAAGCACTGTAACTTTAAGTAACTTAGCTAGAAGAAGGTGATGAATAACTGAGATTGATAACAGTACTTTAGTTGAGACTCGTTTTCTATTTATATAACTTTTTAATTAACTGATTGGATGTTTGAATACATGTTGAAAACTCTTGCAAGTTCCAATATTTTCTATTTTCTATATCAGAACTGTCTAATTGACTGATTAGATGTTTGAATACATGTAATAATTGTATAGGATTGAAAAAAATGAAAAAAGGAGGAAGTATTTTACATCAAGCCAAATCCACCATAATTCACTTACTCCCAATGTAAAACATTTTAATAAATTTCTCACCTGCATTGTTTTCAAAGTAGCCTCATATGTTTTTACTAATATGTGATTACTTCTGTAGAGATGCCGTCAGTACTGGAAGTTGTGAAGAAAGATTTCTCTGCGTTGAGCGTGGATGCACATAGGTTTGCCTTTGACATTGTGTTTGCGCAGATCAAGGAACATTTGCAGGAAGTCTCCACAATGGAGGTATGAGTTGTTCATAATAGGTGGAGGACTTACCAGAAAATTATTTAATACTTTTAACATCCTGTTGATAAATTTAAGCACTCCTCTTCAAAAAAATGCAAACTTTTGTTAAAATTATAAATGGCTACACTAATAAATACTGTTTGGTATGCAATTATCAGAAGTGATAACTTTCTTTTCCAACTCTTTTACATAACTTAAAAAAAATATGTTATTTTTACTTGATTATTTACTGTAACAATTATGTTTTATTATAATTTATAATTTATTTGAGATGTTTAATCTAGATTTATACCAGATCTCAAATCTAACCTTCTTATCTATAGTTTATGTAAATACCCATCAGTATTTCCCACAACTTCACATTGCCAGTATTATTATTTAATTTCCGACATTAATAGTTTTCATTACTGTGGTCATTTTCAATTGTATTTCTGTCCAGATTTGGACCAGTGCCAGTGCTGGGGGTGCCCTGACCGCTGACCTGCCTACATTTAGCCTCTCTCCACAGGAATACATCACCCAGGTATGTTAACACTGGCCACAGTCCCTTTTATTCATAAACATATTTCTTTGGGGAATCCCTTTCTGGACTGGACTGTGTTCATCAGTGTGTGCTTGTGAGAGCTAAGACCCCAATTCCATAGACATCTAAGAGCAATCAGGGCTCCGTATCTCGAAAGGTTCGCTATGTTGCGCAAGTGTCTCGATTCCATAGCCGATTCTATTTCGAGATACGGGGCCATGGAATCGAGACACTTTAGCACGTGCGCAACATAGCGAACCTTTTGAGATACGGAGCCCAGCTTAACTGAATGACACACCTCTTGTTTCCAGCATACTTGTATAATCACCAGCTTTTTTTGTCTTCTTCTTAACACCAGGAGGAGGAATGGCATTCAGTGAAAACTGCAGACTGCAGTCAGTGAGAGTAGATTCACATAGACAGATGATGTGTCTATGGGAATGGAGTCTTTGACAGTATTGTTACTATCTCAACACTCATTTATTGATAGACGTTGTTAATCAAGAAACCATTTTTTAAAATGTGTATAATGCATGTTTTATAAACTAGTTTGGACAGTTTGAGAGAATTACGTAACTAAAAAGCCTGAAGAAAACAAAGCTATGTTTTGCTGCATGTAAAAACGGTTGTGGTATGTAGTTAATAACTTCAAATTTGAGTAGATAAGCCTATGATAAGTTTTTAATAATGAACACATTGACAGAATCATAGTATCATAGTGTGTGTAACATCTTGGATAGCCAAAAAAAAACAAACTTTTCTGCATAATTATTAAGACAATAGGACAAAAGCTTGAATTTATTTAAGAGTAAGATACATTTTTTTCCAGGTTGGTCAATATTTGATGACCATTCCGCAGCATTTAGAGCCCTTCACAACTCAAGACAACCCAGCTCTGCTGGTGGCCGTAAAACATGGGAAGCTACCATACACTGAGGAACAAGGTGTGTGGTAAATGGTGGTTGGAAATGTGACACTTGTAACATGAAAAGCGATGTTGTGTAAAATTGCAGTAGAGAAAGTGAGATCTCTAGAAATGAGGTAGTTTGTAAGATTGATATAACTGAATTTAAGCCAACCAGCCTGTTGTGGACTATTTATAATTATATTTACCCTGTTATTACTTTTCTAAAGTGTTTCTTACAATCATTGCCTGTCTAATGTATATGTCACAGGGAAGATTGAAATCCAGGCAGATTTTAAATCCACCTAGGCAGATTGAAATATTTTACAAAGCTTTGTTTATTTAAACCAACCTTTGTTTTGAAATAGCATGCCTACTCCTCTATACATTTAACTCGGTATGAGAAGAAATGGCAAAGTACAGCTACACAATTGTCAGAAATTAAATTTTTAAAAACAAAGAAAGTAGTATTGCAGTGGAGCTTTAAGACATTTAAACTTAAGCCTGTTTTTCAGACAGTTGCTGGACATGGCTGACATTGTAATTTTTTCAAAGTTCTCAGTATATTTGATGACTGAAAGACAGAAAACGATAAGCATTTTTGCTAGTGTGATTGTAAGCTTTCAGACAACATCACTGACACTTTGCTGATAAAGAAAAGCCTACTGAATATGATGTAGAAATCCTTAAATCAATTTATTCCACAGAGTCCTTTGAACAGATAGCAGACCTGTGGCTGGAGTCCATGGCACGTGGAGCCATGCACATGTATTGTGAGGAGATTCTCAAGATTCCTGAAATAACGGCGCATGCATCAAGGCAGCTAGTCACAGACATAGGTAAATGTGCCTCAAGGTTGATAAAACATAAAGATCACGTAAAAACTGGGATGCCAGTTTTGTGTTTGTATGGTATAGTTGATTATACTTTGGACCATCAAGGTTCATGTACATACATACATAAAAGTTTATCTTATTTAAAGGACAAACTGTAATAAAGAAAATAAGAATTAAAATAAATAATACACCATTATAAGGTCTTCCTTAAGAGGCCTTATGATTAGTTCAAGTTTAATATACAGCACCAAGTAACACATTGCTTATTGTCAGTAGACGTTTTTACGCAAGGTACATGAAAACAGGAAGTCTTGCATGAATCTTTGTCTAATTTTAATGTATTCAGAGCAGGTCAAAATCAAATGAAGTTCATCTTTAATATCTGTAGATTAAACTGTCTATTTTCATAAAAAAAAGCATTGTCTTATTTTACAGACTATTTATCAAATGTCCTGGATGATCTTGGCCTCCAACCCTCAGAGACAGTAAAGAACATTGAAACATTACTGAAGTGCAGCAAAGACAACTTTGACGAGGAGTCAGAAAATATGCCACGAAGGCTTGTCAGTGTTCTCAAGGGAATGAGGGGACTGTAGGGGTCTACACGCTTTGCATCAAGGAGGCCTTGAGGTTTTGGAGTCTGCTTTAGGGGTCTACATGTATTTCGGCAAGGAGGCCATGAAGTGCAAGAGTCTTTTTAAGGAACTAAAATCTTTAACAAGTGTTCACTGAAGTCTGCACATCATAGAGATACCGGACTGTCAATTTTTCATTCTTTTCTTCTTCTGGTTATCTATGTAGTGGAGGATGGGGTGATATTAGGGAGTGCACAGCTTCGGGGACAGGAGTGAAGAAAATAGGGATATGGGATTTCACGTTGAGGGGATATGTTTTTTTTTTCAGCAATATTGATATGGGAGAGAGATATACCCAGTACATATTTCTAGTGTTGTTAAAAGTCTGAAATGGAACGGCTACTTGCTTGTGGATAAACGTTTGCGATGTTTTTTATGTTCGTCTACAACATACCCTAGGTTCTAGATTCCGGTATTGTCAGCTCGATCTTGATTTCATATATAACCCATATCAACAATACCAGGGGTATGAGTAAAAGCGACTCCACCACGAGGTATATTTAGCAAGCTAGCTTTTACGTTTCTCTGACACTCAGGGTACTACAACACAGACTCATGATGGTTGCAATTTGAAAAATAAATTATCATTATTATTATTATTATTATTATTATTATTATTTTATAAAATCTAATCTGATGAATGATGTCATTTACTGCATTTCACTTTAAACTTTTGATATGAAAGACCACATCACAGTAGCATCATTAACCAGCCGACAAACCGTTACAAAAAATATTCAGTAACATTATTACTGATCAGTTTCGACGCATGAAAATTGGAAAATAAAATATTTTTCATCGTTAATTTAACAAAATATAACTTAGGTGTGTAGCGACTAGATGTAGGCCAAAGTGTGGTCTGGTCGAAGGGCAAAGCAGTGCTATTGAAACTACCATTTTAATTGCAAATTACCTCTTCCAGTGAATAACTTTGACGAACGCGTTTCTTTTCCCTACCCCCGTACATAAGTACAACATTCCCATAGAAAACCTACATCCGCTATTGTTTGAGCTTACCTGCCGTCTGCACGTCTCTAACTCGCGCTGTCCTGACTTTGCATGGACTCGTGTATTTTGGCAGTGCTTTCGATAATGTATAGTTTTCCTTTGAAATTTGGAAGATAGTTTCTTATTTATTTACTTAAAGTTAAATTTTATTGTATCTTGGCAAGCTTTCAACTTCAAAATTGGATATATATTATTCTATGGGCGATTTAGTAATTAAATAGATTTAAACCCCATACTTGTGCTCTATGTGCAACCATCAGGAAAACCATTGTGTCATAAAGCTTTTCTTTCAAGGAAAAAGGAATGGAGCTATAAGATAGCACTTGAGACTAAGAAAGGCTTTTTTTGTGCTCTATCAGGCAATTTTGTTGAGCAGTGGCCAGGGAGCTTATCTGATTTCCCACGTTGTAATCGCATACAATTTTCTGAGGGATTTTTAAAACCTATTGTTTATTAATAAATTAATAAATTTCTATTTTATTATTTTTATTTTTACTTTGGTTTTAGTAAAATTGTATGTTAAATAGAAAATTCCTGTACTTAACACACATCCTTATCAACGATGCCAAATCAGTTCTTTGATTCGACTGTAACACGATTTTTTTCAAAAGTGCCTCACCCTCTTGGGATCCAAAAGCGACACAAGTTATTCGAAATATTGTAGAAAAATAAGGAAACAAATACTAAAACTGGTCTGCTTTGTAGAACATACTGCATGTGTACAAAGCGGTTTTGGGATTTTTGAAAAATGTCAATTTATTTCACTTTGTTCTTCAACAGTAGTTTATACATATTTTAGATAGATAAAACGGGCGTGTTATCTGTATAAACTACTATTTTACTGAAAGTTTGATTGTTTCATCCGAAGATAAATAACGCACGGTTTTCCTTTCTTCAGGCACCGCTCAATTCGTTAAATTACTGAAAAATAAAAAAGCAGTGTTTAATTAAACTATGAATTATTGTCTTGCTGGAAAAATCGAAACTGGAAACTAGAAACTAGGCGCTAACTTCAAACGTTTAGACGTTTTCTTTTAAAGTGTCCGTCTATGTTTCAAGAAGTATAAAGAAAGAAAGGGAGAATGAAAGAAGAAGTAACCTTACGGTAACGCTGTACCGTAAGATTGAATGAAAATCCTGTCTTTTCAATCACAATTCCGCCCCAGTTCGTTCATTCGACCTATGAAAGCTGATTTATATGCCCAGTCACGCAATATCAAGTATGTTGACCTTGAAAATGCGTTGTTATTTTTATTTGCTTATTTATTATCATTTTTATTTATTTATTTATTTATTTTGTTGTTGTTGTGTTCCTCTTTTCGATATGGAGACTTATTGTGCCTTCTCATAAAACAGACTATAGTCCAAAGCGAAGCGCGCGCACTGAAAATAGGTGACCACTTCATCATTATGTAAATCAGGTGAGCGTTTTGGTGAGAGGTGCTCAGATAGGACCAAGGTCAGTAGAAGATGGAGAAGAAAGATGGCCCATGCCATATTGCTGCTATTGCCACATGTAGGCCGAAAAGGTGGTACTGAAACCGGCCGCAGTATCTCGTAAGTTCCGTACAGCTGATAGAAAATGTAAAGTAGCATTTCTTAGTTTTGCATTGGCGATAATTTCCTCAAAATGGCGCACTCTAGGCATAGTGACCATGGGGACATCTGACTTGAAGGATACGTTATCTTTGCTTTCCCTCGGTGCTATTTGGGCAACCTTTTGTTTCTGATACCATTAGCTTTCCATGAGGATTAAATATGAATATATATATATTTGTATAATTTTAAAGTTTAATTGCGATTTGTTAATTATAATTATAATTATATACTGACACGAATAGCTGTAATGAACATGTACTGCTTTATCAGATCTTTAGACATAGTTTCATTAATGTGAATTTATTCCTTTAATTCCAGTACCGTTTACGAAGATACCAGGAGCCTCCTACTCAGGGACGCGTTTCGTGTTCGACATGTACAGCCCCACACCCATGCCAAGATTGCCTCCTATGTCGACGTTTGTCTGCTCGTTAATTTGCAGGGACGATATTTAGTACGGAAGGTTATGTTTGCTTTTGGTTGTTACATTCTGCTCCAAAACGTATATCAAAATAAAAGTCGAATAAAAGTAGCTTTCATTTAATAAACTCATAAAAATTGAATCCGTACTAAGCGTCCGCCCTGCATGTTGCTGGTTTGCTTCTTTTGGTAATTGTATGTTACTTTGTCATAGTACAGTGCTCTATCTGATCATGATGCTTTGAGGGCAATTTCTGTATACTTTTGGGTCGGGGTTGATACATCCCCTTTCGAACATGAAACCTAATTTGAAGTTTTCGTTTAACTGTATAAAATGATTAAGTGATTGTTTTAAAAGTATCATATATTAATTAACAAGAAGATATTTTTTCTTTTTGTTACTGAAAATGTGTGTGGACAAATTTGCAACTTGACACCTCGCTGTGAACTTGAAAATGTACTCTTATTCGTTTTAAATGATGATGCCTTCTGGGAGAAAGACATCGCAAACTCATTGCGTAAATTGCAATAGGAAATATAGGAAACTTTTGATTATACATTTATCGTGTGTTCAGTCGAAAAGGGGGAGAGATATAAAATCTACATAGACACTGTTAATAAAACGTATAACGCCTTAGAAATCCCAACATTATGTAACGGGGAAAAATGTGCCCACGTTATTGCAGAACTGTCCACATGCATAACCATGTATTAACAATTATGAATATGGCACTGTGGCTGTGAATAAATTTCCTCTGGTTCTCGGTGTTTTCAGTGCTGGGCGGGGGTCAAATATCTGTTTTCTGAAACTAAGTTAAACAATGGGGTTGGATAAAGATTGCCATCCGAAATAAAAATAATAATTTGAAATTGCAGTAGTACAATGGAGATCTTTGTTGCGTATATGATAAGAAAACTGTTCCTATAGTTAGCTACAAAATTTCCCAGGATTGAGATCATTTATATGCCGTTTAGGACTTCTATTACAAAACAGAAGTGTCGAAAAAAAAAAAAAAAACGGAAATGGACTTCTTTTTGATATCGTTTGTCCACTAAAATGTTTCTGTAGGAATGATATTAATCAAAGCCTTTTGCATTCCATATTTTCAAAATCATTTGAATTGTCACAAAGCCCAATTTTCAGGAGGTAATGAATATTCTGAAAGGATTCAATTAATTTTAGACCGCCAACTTTAGTCAGTTTTGCTCATAGATAGTGAACAATTAATGATTCTTATACAAAATCTATGAATTTTTAAAATTAGATTATAGGATTTATTAATGTCTGTTACACTTGAGTCCATTCTTACAGTTTGGTCAGTTATTTAAGAATTTTGTGGAATTGTCATCTAAAAATGTCATTTCAAAGTATTTTTCCCTCTAAATGGCAAATTCGATATTCTACCAAAGTGTATGTAAACCTGGATACTTCGTTTGGTTTGAATTTTTAAAGTGAAAAACATGCCTTAAATGTGCAGAGGAGCGTACTAATTAAAGTTGTTCTAGATTCTTAGATTTTAATTTTTTCGGGAGCAAGCGGTGATTGAGAACGACAGGCTTGGTTAGATATCAGTCCTGCAAGCCTATGTTGTGTTATTTGTGCTTAGTGTCATCACTTAACACCGAGAACCAGAGTTAATTTTACTTTTTTTGAATGTTAAAAGTAACTTCAAGTACACCGATTTGTGCGTAACCTTTTCAGTTTTGTTTGTATATTATTCTGAATTTGGCAAAGACTTGGATAATCTTGTAAGCCTCCCATGTCTTTATGTCGCTCCTGATTCCCGTGCTATGGAAATGTAAATTTTCATCCACAATTACGCACTGTATGATATTTATTTGCGGATTTAGTGCAAAGAAAACAAAAATGAAAAATATCCATTGGCAAAACATCCGGAAATCTTACAAACATGAAGAAGTTTTGGAAGTTCGATTTGGTGTGCAAACATAACAAGACGACATAAGACGAGGTGTGCTTACATGCACGCGTGCATTAGTGCACAAGCAAATGAATTTATTACAACAGATTATATGCATTTTTAAAATTGTTACAACCTCTGCATTTGGACGGAAATCTTTTTGATGGAATTCGATGAAGACAAGGCACTTATGTCAACTTCTACAAAAATTTGCCAAGTAATATTTGTTCAAAAATCCATTTGTCTATTATCAGTTCTTGCCAAAGTCTTTCGAATGTTACGAGCCTGAACTTTTTTCGTAAATCAAAGGATTCTGTCTTTTAGTAAAATTTCAAAATGCATAAACTTCGACTTGTTTTTTTGAAAGATATATATACTGTCTTCTGTTGGTATGATTTGATTTAAGATTATATTAATTTAGAGTACAAAATGTGATATTTTCATCATTTTTGTAAAAAATTAATGCTGTAAATAATCCATTTTGACAATAATAAATTTGCAAATATTTTACTTT